GAGCGGTGTCGAGCAGCGGCGGCCGCGAGGGTCTGGCCGCCGCCGCGGCGGGCGGCGGATCGCGCCCCGCGAGGAAATCGCCCCCGTCATCGAGGAAAGCGCCCCGCTCCGTCGATGAGGAGAGCGGCTGGCACCTCAAGGAGGACGAGTCGCAGCGGTGATCCTCGACCCCTTCGACCGACCAGCCTCCGTTGCCAGCATCACGTCTCTCCGCCTCTCGTTCACCACGCCGGACCAACTCTGATCGCTCGTTCGTTCACCGGTCGCCGAACACCTCGACCAGCCACTCGGTCCCGTTCGGCAACCCTTCAATCCTCTTCACTCCATTCCGCTCTCAACCATCCCCCTCCTCTCCCCTGCCCTTACCATTCACTTTGACCCCACGCCACGCTTCAAGCCCCACTCCTACGCTCCACTCTACTCCACTCCACTCCAACTCTGGGTCTCCATGACCTGTTCCACTCCTCACGGAACTCGAGTCACTTGGGACCTCGTCGCCAGCCACCAGCTTTGCCACTCGTTTACGCATACTCTACGCCCCCCTTTACTACCCCATTTACTCATCCCTCACGCCCCCCACCAACCGTCGTTCTCTGCTCGATCTCTGCTTCCCTCCCGGCCCCCTTCCGCGCGCTTCACCATCGAGAGCCCCGTAGCCCCACGTGCCACGAGGGCCAGATGGCTATACCAACCACCACAGGCGCGTTCATCTCCCCCCTTCTCCGGCTTGCTTGCCTCCTGCCTATTTCCTCGTGTCATCTTCTGCCCGTCCCTGCTCGGTTTCTGGACACGGCGTTGCCGCTGCTGTTGTATCCCTCCCACGCATCCCCCTCTCATTTCGACGCCTCGTTTGTCGTTTGCGAGGAAGGGAAAGGAGGAAATGCCATCCTTTCTTCATTGCCCTCATGCCCGCGTCCTTCGACAACGGCGCCTCTCTCCCTCTCTGCAAGGCGGCGAGGTGGCAGGTGAGTCGTGGCCGCAGCATGGCGGCGCGATGGTCGTGCGCCGTGAAGTAGGTGATGGATACAAGTACACGAAAAACAGCGCGGGAGAGGGGCAATACAGGGGGGAGACTAATCGTCGTCTCCAGGAGGGATCGGCAGCTCGGGCCAGTCACGCGGCCGTCTTCTTCTTCTTGACCAGTCCAAAGGCGTTGGGACCGCCCTTTTTCTTCTTGGCGGGCGGAGGCTGCTGACCCGTCGTCGCGGTGGCTATTGTCGCCTTTGCCGTCGCCGGCGTCGCCTTGGTCGTCATGGTCGCGGCGGCGGCGAGTTGGGCGCGTGCCCGCTCGCTCAGCAGGCTAGTGACGTCTGGCTCGGCCTCGTCTTCGTCGTCAATCTGCCTCTTGACTATCCTCGACGCCGACGAGCCGCGCGGGGTGGCCGCATCGCTGGGCGTGGTCGGCGAAGCGTTTGATGTCCCGCTCGTCCCCTCGCCGCCGCCGCTGCCACCGCCACTGGACGCATCGGCCTCTTGCAGCGCCACCTCGCGTTCCGCCTCGCCCCGCTCGTCTTCGAGCTCAATGTCCTGCGCCCTGCTAAAGTACTTGCGTACCAGCGCCTCGTCCTCCTCCTCGGCCTTTCTCCGTTCCAGCTCCTCCGGTGTGATCTCGTCCTCGGCCCTCGCCTTGCCCTTGGACGCCAGGCTGCCGAGCACCGTGTCGGCATCGACGCGCTCGAGCCGCGCGTTGCGGGTGCGGATGTCCTGGAGCGCGTCGAGGATCTCCATTTCGCGGCGCGAGTCGAGCGTCTTGTTCTCGAGCGCCTTCATCGGGTCCTCGGCCTCGGCCGCCTCGAGCTGCGCCAGCTTGTCGACCTCTTCGTCGCCCGTGTCTTCGCGCCACGGCTCAAAGTTGCGAGACGCGCCGTGTTCCGCCGCATAGTCTGCCGGGCGGGGTCGAGCGAGGCGGGGATTCGTAGTGGTGCGCAGAGGATGTCAGCATATCTGAGCAGCGGGTCGTCAGGCGCGCGGCGCGGGGCGCAACTCACCGGTATTCTTTGGATCCGTCTTGAAGGTGATTTCGGCGCTGCACTGGGTGCACTTGATGTAGAAGCGGAAGATCTTGATGCCGTAGTAGTCTTCGCCCTGGACCGTCTCCTTGCGGGCGTTGAACTTTTTGCCCTTGTAGATGTACTCGCCGCAGGTGTTGCAGCGCATGCTGAACGGCGCCATGAGGCGGACGACCTGCTGCTGGTCCTTGGGCACCTTGCGGCGCGGGATCTTTGACGGATCAAAGTCCGGCGGGTAGTAGTGCAGCAGCGCTTTTCGGTCGGCCATGATGGACGGAGTGCGGCGGGAGGTGGCGGTGGTGGTGGTGGTGGTATCGGGTTTGGCTCGAAGCGGCCTAGTCGGGAAGGAGGTCGGTGGTGGTGGAAGAGGTGCGAGGGTGGCGAGTATGAGAGGCCGCCCAAAAGTGGAGCAGGCCAACGCGGGCTGAGCAGTGGGGGTATGCCTTTCTCTGCCGCACGAGACAGACGGGCGGGCGAGGCGAGGCGAGGTCGGCCCTGCTGGCACACCTGGGGAAGGAAAGGCCTGCCAGACGCACGGACGCCCGCCTGCCCAAGGCCCCACCGGCTGGCAGAAGAACCAGGCGCCCTGGTCCCATCAGGCCGCAGCACCAGAGTACGTGCCGTCGCCGTCGTCGTCGTTGTCGTTGCGGCGACCACCATCACCACCTCCACCACCGCCGTCATCAACACCATCCGTACGCCCTCCATTCGGCCACCCCTTTGCTCGCCCGCCCAAAGATGAAGTTGACCTCCATCTTGAGCGCAGCGCTGCTGCTCGTCGCCTCAACCGTCGCACCCGCCACTGCCGACCCTTCATCCATCAAGGGACCCTCGGCGACCGGCCGGCGCATCCTCGTCGTCCTGGACCAGCCCCAGACCCACTACTCTTCCTTCTTTGACCAGCTCACCTCGCGCGGCTACAAGCTCAGCTTCCGCGCCCCAAAGCAGCTCAAGCCCCAGCTCGTCGAGCACGACGTCAAGGCCTACGACCACCTCATCCTCCTCACCCCTTCGGCAAAGTCTCTCTCCCCGGACCTCTCGCCCCAAAACGTCGTCAGCTACCTCAAGGACGGCGGCAACGTCCTCTTTGGCCTCGACTCGGACGTCTCGGAGCTCTTCCGCGACCTCTCGCGCGAGTTTTCCGTCGAGCTCGACGAGAGGGGGTCCGCTCTCGTCGACCACTTTGGCTTCGACCGCCGGCTCGATGCGGGTAATCACACCACCGTGCTCCTCGGACCGGCGCGGAGCCAGCACCTGCCGAACAGCGTCGACCTCCCCGCCGGCGGCATCGTTCCCAACTCGGCCGTCTTCTCCCAGCAGACCCTCGACCTGGCCCGCACCCAGCCGATCCTCTACCGCGGCGTCGCCCACCGCCTCGGCGCCAACCCGCTGGCCTTCCCGCTCCTCGTCCCCTCGGCAACCTCGTACTCGTCCGAGGTGCCCGAGCTGGTCAAGGACGTCGACACCCCGAGATCCACCACGTCCTACTCGCAGCCCCCGCTCGTCACCAGCACCGCCACGAGGACCGTCGACGGCGAGGAAGAGACTTACGAGACGGTCTCGACGCCTAGCCCCGTGCCCACCGTGGTCGCCGTGCCCTCGAAGAAGGACAAGAACGGCTGGACCGCCAAGGGCCGCGCCAGCCTCGAGGCGCTGGACCAGAAGAACGAGCTGGTCGCCGGCATCGCCAGGTCGCCCAGCGACACCGTCTCGCTCGTGTCTGGCTTCCAGCTGCGCGACAACTCGGCGCGCGTCGTCTTCCTCGGCAGCACCGACCTGCTGAGCGACGCCTTTGTCTCTCCGGGCTTCGACACGCTCAACGCGCGCGTCGCCGAGGACCTGACGCAGTGGCTCTTCCAGGAAAAGTCGGTGCTCAAGGTGCAGGCGTCGCACCACCGGCGCGTCAAGACCGACGACGCCGACGCGAGGCAGGACTACGAGGAGACCGACGAGGGCAACAAGATCTACCGCGTAAAGGACCACGTCAGCTACACGCTCGACCTGTCGGCCTGGGACGCCGAGCGCGGCTGGGTGCCCGCCCCTACGGAGCTGCCGCTGCAGGTGACGTTCAAGATGCTGGACCCGTACATCACGACTGACCTCGTCGCCCTCGATGCCTCGCACAACGTCACCGACCTCGCCTCGTCGCCCGTCTCGACGCGGTTCGGCGCCACGTTCCAGGTGCCGGACCGGCACGGCGTCTTTTCCTTTGTCGTCGACTTCAAGCGCCACGGCTGGACGTTTGTGCTGCACAAGGACACGGCGCCCGTCCGGCCTTTTAACCACGACGAGTACCCGCGCTTCCTCAGCAGCAGCTGGCCCTACATTGCCGGCTCGTTTAGCACCGTGGCCGGCTTCATCCTCTTTACCTGGCTTTGGATGACGGTCAGCGACGACGACGACCGCGACGAGGCCAGCAAGTCGTCGGCCAAGAAGGTGCAGTGAGCTTGCGTGCGGGCACAAAAAGGTTGCTGGCCTGGATGCATGCTCGAGGTTGTCGTCGTGAAGGGCGAATGGATCCTGCATGGATCGATGGCGCACCCCTTGGCCAGCCTGGTGCAGAGTGTAGAATGGATGGATGGACGACGTACAAATACACCGATGCTCTCCTTGCCCCTTTGCGCGCTCGCTCGCTCGCTCGCTCCTCGACCTGGAGAGCGAAATCAAAACGCCAGCCGACTGCGCAAAAACAGGCTGCGCTCATGCTCAAAGTAAGCCACCGTCCCCATGACGTGGGACCCGGTCGCCTCGCCTTCGCCTTCGTCTTGGTCTTGCACTTGGTCATTACGCTCGTCGACCCCGCTCGTCGGTGAATGTCCTCGCACCTCCGGCCCGGACCGTGGGGCGAGGCAGAGGTCGAGGCAGGGTCGACCGAAATCGAGCACCCACACTTTTCGATCCGTCACACCCCACACCCGGTCCGCATCCGCGACGATGCTGTACTGCGGCGACGAAGACGGGTAGGCGGGGAAGACGAACCACGCTCCCGGTCCCTCTCTGCCCGCACCCTCTTCCCTATCGCCACCGTCGTCGTCGTCTTCGTCGTCTTGATCTGGGCGGACGATGCGGTGTCGACTGCGTGTCAGTATCTGCGAAGTCGAGTCGGAGCGTGGACGGCCGAGCGAGCCGGGCTCGAAGCGCACTACGAGCTCGCGCAGATCCCAGATGCGGACCCGTGCATGTTGGCGATTGCCAGCGAGGAGCATGCATCCCCCGACTCCGCCAAACGCGATCGAGTAGACGGCCGCGTCGCCAAACGCATCGGAAAACGTCGCCACCGGCCGCAGCGTGGCTTCGTCGCTGGCACCGCCATCGCTGCCGCTGGCTCGGCGCCGCCGGTAGAGCTGCCGCGTGTCGTACACCCGCACCGAGCCGTCGTAAAAGCCTGCAAAGAGGAGGTAGGGCGGGACGATTGACGTGGGCGGCGGCGTGGCGAGCGCAAACACCGAGGTGCGTCGTCCCGAAGAGGTGAGAGGGTAGGTCGACCCCAGCTCAGTGCGGCCGAGACCCGCTCGACGTTTGAGCATGTAGATCTGCAGGAAGGAAAGGACGGGCCGACGGACGGACGCAAGGACGACGAGCGCGGTCAGCGACGTTGCTGCAGAGGAAGAGGCGCTAGCGAAGATGGACGGTGCGACTCACAAATAACGCCGGGTCGCCAGTCAGGCCGACGGCGACCCATCTCTGGTCCTGCTCGCCGACCACCTGACCGCCGCCGACGTGGACGCACCATGCCCGGGTGCCCTTGACGCCCGTCGAGCCAGTCAAGGGGGCGTTTTGGAAGGCTGGGCTGCGGAAGCTTCTCGAGGGCGTCGCCGACCCTTCGTCGCCGTCGGATGTCGAAGTCGACGTGCTGGACTGATCCGTGCTGCGACGATGGGAAGGCCGACCTTCGTGGTCGATCTGCCACTCTTCGACCTGCCGCATGTCGGATGCATCATTGTCGCCGGTGCTCTGTCCCGCCGGCACCGTGACAACCTGCAGGGCTCCTCTCTTTGAGATGGACGCCAGGACAATCTCGTCGGTCTGCGCGAGCCTGCTTGAGGACACGTCTGCGATCTCGCGGCGCCGCGGGCTGGCAATTGTCTCGACGACGATGACATGCAAGCGTGAGGCCTTGTTGCGTTTGCCCCGCTGTGCGACTATACGGATGCGCTGGAGGGTGCCGTTCGCGAAGCCGACGACGAGCTCGTCGCAGTCGTCGTCGACCTTTTTGATTGCGGTGATGTCCTGCCAGGGGTTGGGTGTGGCCCTGGAGTGGTCTGACCCCGGCCGGCCGTGGGTATCGAGGTGGAGGGTGTGGCACTTTGAGAAGTCGAGGGCCTGCAGGGATGGCGTGTCGATCGAGGTGAGTTGGGTGCGCTCAAAGAGGTGGAGGTCGGATCTGACGGCGACGACGAGCCTGCTGTGCCCTAGGACGAGGTAGGGCATGGCGAAGGCGAGCTTGGCCGACTTGTGAAAGTCTGAGGCGGGCGGCGGTCTGGCCACGGCTCGCGATGCGCTCGACGATAGCTTTTGGTGGGCGCGCGAGGCGTGTCCGGGTAAGGGGAGGTCATGCTGAGTGGCGAGGAGGATCTTTTGCTGCCATGCTCGGGAGAGGCTGAGGTGGAACTTTGCACGGTGCCACCAGACTGAGCGTTGGAGGGCGAGGTCGGGTGCTGTGGGCGCGGGTATGGATGCGGTGCGATCGAGGACGAGGGGTGCCTGGCGTGACTGCACAAAGGCTCGCCATGCGAGGTCGTCGACGAAGCGGAGGGAGGATGTGCAGGTGGCCGCGAGGTTGGCGAGGTCGATGGGGTCGAGTTTTGCGGCGATGAGGAGGAGGAGGTCCGAGGGGAGAGAGGAGAGGCCGGCCAGGGTGGCAGGCGGGTCGGCGGCCATGAACGGGGGGGGGCTTGGGTCCAGGTTGAGCGAGGCTGGCTTGCAGACGTCGGAGTGTTCCGTGGTGCTGTAGAGGCGATCGATAGGGGTCGCTGGGGGGGAGAGTGGGAAAGGATGAAGGTCGAGAGGAGGACGGGAAGTACGACTCATGGCAGAAGAGAGCGGGCGAGGAAGGAAGCCACGACGGCTCAGTCAGTCTGACACTGCCCACATACCCTCCACTACTCTGGGCCATGCCATGCCATGCCATGCCATGCAGGGTCCGCAGCGAGCCACACGACATCAACCAACAGAGTGCACGGTTTGCCCCTCGTCGTAATCGTCACCACCACCACCACCACCACCACCACCACCTCCATCCTCACCTTCTCTTCGCTACTTACTGACACCATGTCGTTCCGATTCCACAAGGGCCCTGCCCTCGTCACTCTCTTGTACGTCGACCGCGCGCACCTACGGGCTCAGCCTGTCGGCCAACGCACATCGACGCATCAACAGCTGACCCCTCTCTCTCTCTTCCTCGCCACTTTGCTTCCTCACTCGTCCTCGACTCTGCCTGCAACGACAGCCACGATCAATCCTCGCCTACGTCGAAAAAGATCCTCAACCTCCTCTCCACCTACAATGCGCGCCGCAACACCGTCAGGGAAGGCCAGAGGGCCGAGCCGCCGGCCAACAACCACGGCGGCGAGACGTGTGTCGTCCAGTCGCAGCTCGACTCGTCCCTCTCGCCCCCTTCACCCCCCTTTCACTCCGACGATGGCGGCGGCAGCGGCGACACGAACCTAGGCTCGTCCGTTGGCGGTGGCGGTGGCGGCGGCGGTGGCGGTGGTGGGAGGGGATCCGAGTACCTCCGCGAGGCCGCATCCGACCCGACCTCGGTGCCCTTTGAGATCGAGGTGCTCAACCGCCAGACGCAGCCGCCCACGCCAGACCAGATGCGCAGCATCCTCGACTACCTCGGCCGCGACCCCACTCCACCATCCCTCGACAGCTCCCTCTCCCGCCTCGCCGCAAACACGCCCAACGCCGCCGCAGACGAGGAAAGGAGGAGGAGGCAGATCCTCCAGTCCCACCTCGACCAGTCCAAGTCGACCGACCCAAACGGCCTGCCCCAGATCAAGGACGGTCCCCTCGTCGTGCTCTGGGACGAGGGCTACGCCACCACCACCATCGAGGGCGTACAGGCCATGCTCCAGCGCATCGAACAACAGCACAAGAACAACCCGGCCGCGTCAAACAGCGGCGGCGGCGGCTGCACCGTCATGTAGCAGCATCCCGCCCTCTTCGTCGGCGCTCGTCTTCCCTTCGCAGCGCGCCCCCGCTCCGTTCCTGTACCGTTCCATGCACTGTCCCTCGTCATCCTCTACCACCAACATCGACCCCCGGCCCACCTCTCTAGCAATGTCTAGCATCGTCGAGCAAACAGGCAAAAGGGATGAGATTGCGAAGTGGGACAACAAACAAGAAATCAGGGACGACGAATGAAGGAGAAAAGCAACAGAGCGTCATGGACAAAGAAGAGGGGGCAGAATGACCCAAGCGCCATCCCCTCGTGGCGACGAGGGTCAAGGTGACATCGGGGGGGTCGGAGGAGGGTCGAAGCGACCATGGTAGTAGTAGGAGAAACGAGTGGGTCGGGATAAATGGTCTTGGTCGGTGTTGTCTGGGCTGGGGGCTAGGGCGCTCATCGGTGTGCAAGGATGGGGCAGGTAGGGCGGTTGGCGCACATCTCTCTTCCTCCAGGCCGAGACCCTCGCGTGTAGCAAAGGCCTGGGCCTGAAGAGGCAAAGGGGAAACAAAAGGGCCGATCGACGGCGTGCTGAGAGGGAAACCGCGCATCGCCAATCCCGAATGACGGATGTATGAATGCAGGAGAGGAGGGCGAGGGCGATGATGATAGCAGCGGAAGCAGCGGCGAGGTGGGGCCGGGCGGGCGGGCGAGGCTCCGCAGCCCGACGTGCTCAACGCCGGTCCACAGGCGACGCCAGAGACGCAGCCGTTCTAGATGGATGAAGGACGGACGGATCAGTCGAGTGGCGTGGAGGGGTATGATAATGAAGTCGATATCGTTGCGCTTGATGATTAGGACGATTTGGACGGTGATGGCCGTGATTGTTGTGTGGATGCGGACCGAAAAGCGGAAAGTTGGGGCGCTGGCCATGGACCAGTCTTTGAACGAAAATGACCCTGCTCAACAGCGGCGAGGAGTTCACGGTGGCGAGGGTCGGTGCGAGGGCGGTTTCATCGGCATCGGCGAGGGCGAGCCGATGCTGCTGCTTCTTCAAACGGCCACGCCGGGTTGCAGGACGGCGGCATGCTGGCCGTTGTTGGCGTGTACAGCGGGGCTGCCGTGGTTGCTGTGGCTAGGGTTGCTGCTACCGCCACCAAGCTGGCAGCGGTCCAGGAGCGCGCAGTAGACAAACTTGTATGCCCACAGGTTGCCCTTCATGCGGCGGATATCGAGGCTGTAGAGGCCCGGCAGGTTCTTGATCCGCGTCACCTCGACCGAGAACCGGATCTCCTGGCCGCCATCCACAGAGGCGTCGCCGTACAGCGGCTGCGGCGCCTGCGCGTTGCCGCCTTGGACCTCTTCAAAGGGCGTTGTCGTGCTCGAGGGCGACAGGAAGGCGCTGCCAGACACTGGACTGGCGCTGCCGGGGGGCTGCGCCTGCGAGCCGCGGCGAAGGAAGCTGCGGAGGCTGCCGCCGCCCGTGCTCGGGCTGGTCGACATGGCGGCGACGTTGCTGGTGCGCGAAGAACGCTCCACATCGGCCTGCGAAGGCGGGAAGACCGAGGTGCGGATGCTGGCGCTGAGGCCCTGGGTTGCGCCGAAGAGGGTCTTGGCGCGCTTCCGCCGGACGCACTCGAGCTTGAAGTCCTCGTCCCTTTCCTTGCGGACGTCGATGCCCATGTCGTACAGCGCCCGCTGCACCTCGGCAAACACGTCGATGGGCGACCTCGAAGTCAGCGCCGACTGGTCGACGGCGCCGAGGTGGAAGCGGAGGCGCGAGTCCACGAAGGGAAGGTCGGCACGCGGGCCGCCAAAGGCGGCGGGCGAGCTGGGCTGGATGGGCGTCTCGGGCCCGGCCATCATGGTCGAGGAGGCCTTGGGCGTCGCCTGCTGCACCGTCGAGGCGCTCGACTTGACGCCCTCGCTGGTCCTCTGCGACGTCTCGGTGATCGCGGTGACCTGCGTGGCCTCGGTCGCCTCGCTGGCCTGGCTGTGCGTACCCGAGGTGGACCTCGACGAAGGGACCGAGGAACCCGCAACGCCGCCGCTGCTGCTGCCGCCGCCGCCGGCCGCAGCGCCGGTGACGACGACCTGCGGGGCTCCCGGGCTGTTGGCGCGGACCTGCGAAGGGCTGCGCTCGAACGGTCCGAGCGGCGGCTGCTCCTGGAAGCCCCCGCGCGACAGGCTCTTTTTGCGGAACCAGTCCATCACCTTCTTGGCCGCGTTGCTCGACGGTCCAGACGCCGAGCTGCCCAGCGTCGACTCGTCGTAGAAGGTGCCGTGGCGGCTGCTAGTTGCCGTCGGAGGCCTCGAACTGGCCACAGAGGGGGCTCCGCGCAGCGACGGCGCCGCCGGGGCCTCGGCCGAGCCAGAAGAGGTGGCCTCGCTGACATTTTCCATCTCGGATCTTCTGGTGCCGGCGGCGCCGTTGGCGTCGATGGCACGGTCCCGGTCGCGGGCGGCCGACGAAGCGTTGCCAGGCTTGCCAACGACCAGGCTCATTGCCTTGCGCCGGCTGCCAGACCTGCCGTTGCTGCTCGGAGTCCGATCGACAGCCGGGCGAGCCGGACTAACCTCAAAGGTGCTACCGCTCTGCGATCGCGAATCGGTGTCATCGCCCGCTCGAGGCCCGGGGCTGCTCGCGCCGCCGCCGCCTTGAGAGCCAAGCAGGCGCGAGAGGAAGAACTTGTCGGTCGACATGCCTTTGCGGTGGCGCGAGTTGGTCCGCTCTGGCGTGGCCTTGCTGGACGAACCGAGCAGGTGGCTGGTCGATGGTCGCGAGATGCGCCTCGAACGTTTTTCGGGCGACGCCGCCGCGCCGGCGGAGGCTACGCGCTCGCCGCCTGGCGGGAACGACACTGGCTCGCTGGATGGGAGCGGGTTCGAGACACCCCTGCTGGCCGCACCCTTGGCAGCCTGGGCAGCGGCGGGACCAGCGGGTGCGGCACTCGGCATTCTGGGCTGCGACGCTTTGGGCCGGTCGACCTTGGGCTCCTCGTCCTCTTCGGCCGTCGATGGCATCGCCGAAGCCACGCCCTGCTCCAGGATGGGCGAGGGCACACCAGCACCGGATGATGCCGTCGAGGCGGTGCGCGCCATCTCCTCGCGAGCCCTGATGGGAGCGGCGTTCTCGCCCTCGGCCTGGCTTGCCTCGGAGATAGCCCCGTTTGCCTCACGCGGTCCCGCAGGCGTCGAGCCGGCGCTCGCCGTTCCAGAGCGGCTCGTCGCGGTGTTGGGCTTGGACGTGCCGGTCGCCGAGGTGTTGGCTGTTGGGGCGGCACGGTCGTGGGTGACGCGCGGAACCGGCGGGACCGACCCATCGGTGGTGCTGGCGGCCTTCTGAGCCCTGTTGCGATCCGAGTCGCCGCTGTACTCGAGCTGGATGGTGTGCCGCTGTGTCTTGGAGGCCGCAGGCTTGCGCTGCTCGCTGTCCCTCGAGGCGCCGGCCGAGTCTCGCTTGCGCGAGGAGGCGGTGGCTGCAGGTGCAGACTCGTCGAGGCGGGTACGAGGCTCGCCGCGGGCGTTGCCCTGAGCCATGACGGGGTCGATGGCCGTCGCCGCCGAGGAGCGACCGCTCTCGGAACCGACTCGGGCACCGGGGACGCTGAGCGAGCTGCCGCTCGTGCCGGGCGCGGCCTCGAAGATGCGGTCGGGCATCGTCGTGCTCGACGCCATCGCACTCTGATGGCGCTGGGCCTTGGCGGCCTGGTGTGGGTGGTCGGTGATGCCGACAGCTCCACTGGGGGCCAGCGAGGCAGATACGTGCTTGGTCGACTGGCTGCGCTCCATCTGCTGTCGTCGCTGCTGCTCCTGCAGCTGATGCTGATACAGCATCTGCTGGCGGTAGACCTGCCTCTTTTTGGTCTGCTGCTCGACTGCGGCGCGCTCGAGGTCGTCGACCGAGAAGCGGAAGAGATCGCGGTACGCCGACAGCCAGCTGTGCGACATGACCTGGTTGAGGTCGGCCCGCTTGAGCGGATCGGGCACCAGCATCCGCGAGAGGAGGTCCCTCGGCTCGGCGCTGATGTAGTCTGGGAACGAGAGCGGCGTGGCCATGATGTACTTGTAGAGGAGGTTGATGTTGTCGCCGTCCGGGTTGGCCGGATCATCGTCGAACGGCAGGTAGCCAGCGAGCATGGCGTAGAGGATGACGCCGCAGGACCACACGTCGACGGCCGAGCCCGCATAGAGGCCGTCCTGGACGACGAGCTCGGGCGCGGCGTAGCAAGGGCTGCCGCAGCTCGTGGCCATCAGGTCGTCCCTGCGGTCCTCGAAGTTGTTGGCGAAGCCAAAGTCGGTGATGATGACGTTGCGGTTGCGGTCGAGCAGCAGGTTCTCGAGCTTGAGATCGCGGTGGACAATCTTTTTGCGATGAAGGTACGAGACGCCCGAGATCAGCTGTGCAAAGAGCCTGCAGGCGTGCTCCTCTTTGAGGTACTTGTGCGCCAAGATGTGGTCGAAAAGCTCTCCGCCTGGTAGCCATCGCGAGACGAGATATGGTCAACCGGCAAGACGCAGAGGGGTAATGAGCGTGAGTCATCGTGCGCGTGTGTGCAATGACAGTGGGAAGGCGTCGCACTCACCAGAGGCATACTCGAGCACGATGCCAATGTATCGGTCCGATTCGATGACTTCGTAGAGGCGGACAATGTTGGGGTGTCGAACGTCCTGTTTGAGCATCGCGGGGTAGAGGGCAGGAAGGGATCGCCCAAGCATTATCGGGGTCAGGATCTCCGTCACGACGGCGGCGCTAAGGTGGGCCAGCGGCGCGAAGCGGGTGGCCGGCATTGACTCACCTTGAGAACCTGGATCTCGCGCTCTACCTTGCTCATCTTGGCGGGATCCTTTTGGTTGGGGTCGAGTTGCAGCTGAACGCCGTTGGGCCCGACTTTTTCGCGCTTGATCAGCTTGACCGCCACCTCCTCGCCCCACTCCTTGTGCACGCCGAGCTTGACCTTGCCAAACTCGCCCTCTCCCAGCGTCTGGAGCAGGAGATAGTTGCCAAAGTGCACCTGCTGCCTGCGTGGGTGGGCGGCAAAGTACGAGAGCGCGGCGGGCGACGTGATGGGGATGCCGGACGAGATGGCCTGGCTGGTGCCAGGGTCGAGGCCTGCACCGTTGCCGGGCAAAGGCGGCGCGCCCATGGCGCCGGATCCGGCGTGGCTGCTGCTGCTCGACATGGTCGGATGAGCGCTAGCCCGGCGCTCGTTGTAGCCCGGTCCCATGGACGCGAAGACGTTGGCGGAGCCGTCCGAGGTGGGCTTGGAACCGCGCCCGGCGTTGGACCCGCGGTCAGTCGGCGTGGGCATCGCCGAGACGGGGCGGTGCGCGTGCGACTGGCCGCCGGTGGCGAGCTTGCTAGGCGGATGCATCGGGGCCTGCGCCGGCTGGGCGTACGACTGCGGCTGTTGGAGGAGGACACCGGCATTGCCCATGCTGGCGTAGTTTGCAGTCGGCTGATAGCCGCTGGCTCGCGAGGCGCTGCTTCCGGAGCGAGCGACCCCGCCAGTCGGTGGTCCCATCGACTCAGTCATGGCGGATGGGCGGACGGGGGAGGCGGAGGAGTAGTCTACGTCGTGCACCCGATCGTCGTAGGCCGAAGTCGTGCCGTGCCGCTGCGTGGGCTCTCGAGGTGAGCTCGGGGGCGAGAAGCGGGAAGACATCCGGTCGGCTCCTCTCGAGCGCACGGCCGATCACGAGAGCCTGGACGCAAGGGGGCAGCGACGAGGCCTCGGGCGCGGCGCAGAAGTCTGACTGGCCACAGACCCTGCCTGGCCTGGGCTGAGGAGAGGGCGGAAGAAAAGCGGCGGGGAGAGGCTGTAGCAGATACGAAGAGGATCGGGGGCGTCGAGGGTCTAGGGCGCTGGTAGGCGGAGTCGATGAGGACGAGCAAGCCGATCTAGGCAGCACCGACGACGCTACGTTCGATGCGTGCTGAGGAGAGCACGTCGATGATATGAGATGGTGTGTGACGAGATGGAACGGATCCAGAATGGTGGAGATCGAAGAAGAGATCGGATGGAGACAAGGAAATCGGCGGAGAGCGGCGTAGGTCGGTGTTGACGAGCACAGGGACAGGGGGGGAAAAGGGACTGGTCAGGACGAGGTCCAAGAGAGGGCGGCGTCGGTGCCCCGGTCTGCGAGGATGTCACCGTCCTGGCTCACCTGTATCGCGAGCTGCGATGCGAGGCCAAAGTTGAGCGGTCCGTGCTTGCCGCCGAGACGCCAGATGAAGGAGGAGAAAGCCCAGGAAGAGTCCGGTCGATGTGCCCGACGTCAGGACGGGACGGTATGGGCGCGACGAGATGGCCGGATGGTGGTGGCAGGGCGGTCGTCCTGGCTTCGAGATGGACGTCGTCGCGAAGGGGATGGCCACGTTGGAGCAGGGTCGGACCGGAAGGGGGGGATGGGAAGAGGAGGGAAGGGGAGACGGGGCGAAGCAGAGGAATGGTGGCGACGACGAGGCGGACGAGGATCAGGACCGGACGATGGGGGACCGGGAGAGGGGAAGGACAGCAGCAGAAGGACGGCCGGCCGGAGGGAAGGGCAGACAGAGAGGCGACGCGGCGGCGGAGGCGGCGGCGGGGCCCGACAGCTGGCGAGGGTGGGCCTGGCAGGCAAGCAGGCAAGCAGTCAAGCAGGCAGGCAGTCCGGCAGGCAGGCAGTCCGGCAGTCAGGCAGTCAGGCTTTGGCCAGACGGCGAGTCCAACACCACCACCCGCAGCGCTTGGCCTGCCTGCCTGCCTGCCGGACTGCACCCGTACGCGCGCCTTGCTTGCGCCTGCCCTGCCCAGCTCAGACCACCGTTTGTTGGTTGCTTGGCCAGGCCTGGGGCCAGACGGGGCAGTCGGCCTGCCACCGCCGCCACGCATCCACGCACCTCGCACACGCACGCACGACGCCCGCCCACGCACGCCCCCAGCCTGCTGGCTGGCCGTCCATGCCCACCTCTTCTCACGCCCTCTCCCTGCCTATGGCTTCCTCTCCTCTCTGCGTCTCCTAGTTGTCTCCCTGGTACCCCCCCGGACCGACGTCTTCGATCGGCCTGGTGATGGTCTTGATTGCGGGAGTGCACATCAGCCGGAAGCAGGCAGGCAGGCAGGTAGGCAGGCAGATCGACAGGCTGGCAGGCGGACGGGACGGACGCCGCCGAATGCCAACAACACACGCACGCACGCACCAGCACGCATGGCCGCCTTTGGAACAGGCAGGCAGGCAGCCAGGCAGGCAGGTAGGCAGGCCTCTGGCAGGCAGCCGCCCGTTTTGGGTTTGGCGCGAAATTCGGGCGTACGGCAGACAGACAGACAGGCGGGCAGGCGGGCAGGCCGCCTGGCAGGCAGGGGCCGAGGCCCGCGCCCCGCCGTGTCCCCTGCTGGCCAGGCCCCCCCCCCCTCCCTGTCTCTTGCCGCTTCTCTCTGGCCTCGCTGCTTTGTTCCTTCTTCGCTCGCGCCGCCTTCCTGTGGTGCGCCCAGCTGCCTCGCCGACTCTTCTGTCTTGACAACCCCTGCGACAGCCTGCCTGCCTCTTCTTTGATTGCCTGCCGTCAAGCGGAAGCGGAAGCAGCAGGCAGCCCAGGTGAGCGGGCCCCCTGAAGATCTCCTGCCTGATCTTCTTGGCGTCGGAGCGGCGCAGTCGAAGTCGTCGGCGTCGTCCAGCTCCGTCCGGGAGCGGGTAGGTGCACACATGTGCCAGCAGCCGCCAGCAGCAGGCCTGGCGAAGCGCAGCTCCTGAGGAGGGTACGGTGAGCACAGAGGGCCCGATCTCGTCTCGTCTCGTCTCAGCGCACAGTCGTCCCGTTGCCTAGCCTGCTCGACTGCGTTGGTTGGTTGGAACGGTGGGTGGGTGGCGCTGCAAGGGGGATCGTGCCGAAAGCACGCTGCAGAAGGCTGGCTGGCTGGCTGGCTGGCTGGCTGCCTCGTTCTCGCAGGCTGCTGGCGGGCTGCCTTCTTGTTGGGCGCTGCTGCCTCACCTCTGCCTCTCTTCGAGCAAGCGACAGGCAGGCAGGCAGGTTAGAGGCCGGTAGGACCAGAGGCGAGGAGACGGCAAGCCACACAAGACGCACGTCGCCGCGCGCACCTCGACTCTCTCTCTCTCCGCCTTTTCTTCCACGAGCCTGCGACCGACCCCGTCAACCCGCTCCATGGAGCATACACACGATTGCCCCGGGCGCATGCGACGGCGGTCGACCGCCAGGAGGACCGGGGAGGGCGACAAAAGAGGCTTCGGACGGAAGCCATACCGTAGCGGGGAGGCAAGGAGGTGTGGTCGGGCCTCTCTCTCTCTCGTTGACGAGGAGCATGCACGGGGCTCATGAGATGGAAGGCCCCGTCGTGTTCGCTCGTGCGCTCGCTCGCCTGCCCCTTCTTGTCGCCGCCTCGTCACCTCTTCTTGGTCGCAGCGCAGCACTCGACCGTACGAAAGCACGCACGCAACGCAAGGTGATGCTGCGCTGCTGGCCTTTGCGAGGGCGAGGGGACGAGCGAGGCAAGGGAGCTGAGACACGGCGGCGCAAGGGCGAGGCAGGGCGGGGGCGAGGACAATACGCACGCGTACCTTGCTCGGGGCGAGCGGCCCACCACTCGGGCAATGGTGGCCGAAAGGACAAAGGAGCGCCAGCAGCCCGTCGGCCAGTGTGGCGATGGCGACAGCGAGCGCGACGGCGACCAGCAAGCAGGCACCGGCAGGCACACTAACTTTGGCGAAAGCACCGCTAGGCCAAGTCAAGGGGCCCTGTCGATCCCCCAGATACGATCGTGGATTATTTGCACGCAGCAAGCAAGCAAGCTAAGGCGGGCAGGCTTCCACGCACGCAGGCAGGGCATGGCAGAGAGCAGCAGCGGGAGAGAGAGCCCGGCTTGTCTCACCATATGTACCTAGCTACGCCACCGGCCGAGCTGACGGCCCGAGAGGAGCGCAGGCTGAGTTGGGATCAAGAGGGTCTGCAGGAGAGGCCACGAGAGAGCGAGACCCCTCTCGCGCTCTGGCTGCGAACCTCTTTCTCTGGCGACGCAGCCTGGCGTGCCATGCCGCTCAGCAACATGCCTGGACGTACACTCCTTCCTCTTCCTCGACCGGAACGGCCGAGCAGCGCAGCGTCGTACATACAAGCCGGCCGGTCGTCGCTGTTTCGCAACGTGCGGCTGGGCGGAAACCTACGTAGCTGCTTGGTACCGGTAAGTTACGCCCTCTTTGACTGCACAACCCTTCTTGCGCCCGATCTACAGATTACCCCGCTTGCCTGCGCCCTCGGATGTCGATGGGCTGGACGTAACGTCGTCGCCGCCTCGCCGTACTCTCGATCGAGGTCTACGACCTCGACGGCGCGTCCCTGGGGCGGCGAAGTTGCTGGTTCTCACAAGGCTCACCAATCGGGCTGGCTTCGCGTTGCCTGCCAGTCTTCCATCAGACGACGATGGAGCCGTGCCAGGCCATCTTCACTACAGCTGGAGTCCGCCTGCTTCCGACGAGCACGTCAAAGGAAAGCCGTGACGCTTTCGTGCACGAGCTACGGCTGAGCCGATGCGAGAGCCGTGGTGGATCTGGCTTGGTTGTGCCATCGATGAATCTGCCTTTGCGAGCGTTGATCTCGCTACCTGCACTGCCAGCTCCACGCTCGAGGATCTCGCCGTGGTCACGTCGCGTAAACGCGCCACGTCGTCTCGACCTCCTCCTTATCTCGTCTACGACTTGAGCACGATCTGTTACGGACGCTGCGTCGGACAGCATCGCGCAGCTCGCCGCGCAGCTGACAGACGATACGGTATTCAGCACTCACTCTCTCTTGAGACTACTGTTCTTACCGCGAGCCAAACGGCCCACGGGCGGTCAGAGTGTCTTCGTCCGTAGTCGTAAGGATCTGCAGAAGGAGGTTCCGCTGGACAATCTGAGCTCATATCGCTCCATCCCAGCGGAAGCGCTGAACCCAACGGAGAAGAAAGCATGCTGGTACGGTCGGGAGGACGGCGCGCTCGGCTCAGCCGTCCAGGGGCCTCGCCTGGCGCGTGGCTGTGCTAGAGACTTACTACATGTTGATACGTCGAGATGGGATCGCGCGTGGCGTGGCAGGCCAAGTCACCGGAACCTCTGCCGAACCGATCTCTATGGACCGACGGTGGGCAGGCCCGAATACCGCAAGTCGGTGAGGCTGCGACGGTGGGGGCCCAGCGAGGACGTGGAGCTAGGAACGAAAGTGACTCGAAGGACGATGTGTTGGCCGTTTGTTCGGAACGGCGTCGTCCGAACGAGGGGAAGGGCAGCTACCACTCTGAAGTCGACAGGTCTGTGAGAGCTCAGCAGGCTTCGGAGCGAAACACCGGCCGGGGTCCACCTGCCAACTCTCTTTTTTCCGGTTGCTCGCGTGGGCCGAGCAAGGCCACGGGTTGCCCCACATCCATCGCGCTCAGCCCGAGGATGCTGGTCTCTTTGCTCGACAGCGGCGGCGAGGATAGGCCTTGCCGTCCACCTTGCTTTCTACAAGAACCTGGCCTGCGTAGTGCAAGCCCGAACGGTGACTTGGTGGACCGCCCTCTCTGGCAGCGACGTCCTTGAACCATCCTCTCACTTCACCCTCCTCTCCACCTCAGCTTTGGCACTGCGCTCGCATCGAACGACGATCCCATCCTTCCCCTAGGCCACGCCTCAACCTCAACTTTTGGCTCGAACGGACGCTGCCATCGTGCCACCCGACGGCATGGCTGGCGCGGGGCCCAACGGCCTGCGGGCCTGCAACGATGGATCCTTTGGGCCCGTCTCGGACTGCCGCTTCTTTGACTTCACCGCGACCTTCTCCAACGCCATCCTTGGCACCCTTCCCGCCGCCATCGCCCTTCTCTGCTTCGCCGCGAGGCTGCGCATCGTACTGCGCAAGAAGAACCTCGGCCAATTCACCGACGGCATGCGTTCCGGACCAGTCCAAAGATACCTCGGCGTGGCTCAGGGCGATGCGGTCGGTGCCCTGGCCGCCGCCGTAGCTATTGCCCACGCCGCGCTCAACGTGGTGCTGCTCGCGCTGCTGCTGCGCCCGCAGGGACGGGGCCTTCGACACGCGCTGCAAGCTCCCTCGATCGAGGCCTGCACCGTCCTCTCCCTCGTTGTGGCCCTCGTCGTGGTCCCCCTCAGCATCCTCGAGAGGCGCAGGACCAAGGGCGGCGCAATGTTCATCCCGCTCTGGCTCTTCTTTGCCCTGCTCTGCGATGCCAGCCGGATCCGGTCGTTTACCGGCATGCCGCAGGTCAAGGGCGACGCCTTCTTCTACGTCTTCGTTGTCGCGTTCGCCCTCAAGTCCATCATGCTCGGCTTCGAGAACAGCGACGGCCGCGATATTGGGGTGAGTGCGCTCGTTTGCAGACTGGCGTTGCTTCCCAGCATCGCCCTTCGCCAGAAACCACCTTGGCCGTGATTGACCTCCTCATTCTGCTCGCCGATCCGAACGTGCTCGACTCTTCGCAGGAACCCAACACCAGGGAAGGCCGCGCCGGCTTTTTCTCCCGACTCATCTTTGCCTGGCTGATGCCCGTGCTCTGGTCGGGCTACCGAACGCCCATCACCATGGGCTCGCTCGACCCGCTCAAGCCCGATTTTGGCTCCGACAGGCTCTACCGCAGGTTCATTGGCAAGTGGACCGGTGCCGTCTCGGACTCGAGAAGTTGGAGCGAGGCGAGCGGGCACGATGACGACGACGACGGCGACGATGACGGCGACGCGGGCAACTTCTCTTTCGACGACGCCAAGAGCGGCCGCGATCCCCGCGACTCGGACCTCGTCCTGCGCAAGCTGCCTCTCCCGGCGCGTCCCGACCGTGCCGGATCGGCCGCTGCGGGAGGACGCATCTTCCCGAAGAAGGTCAACCAGCGAGGGCTGCTGGTCACGCTCATGCTCGCCCACCCGCTCGCCTGGTTTGCTCCGATTCCATGGATGGCGATCGACACCGCTTGCAAGCTCACCCTCCCCTTCCTCGTCAGCGCCACACTCGCCTTTGTGCAGTCCTTCGACCACGATTCGGCGTCGCCTCCCCAGCCGACGGCCTACGGCTGGGGGCTCGGAGGCGCGTTCGCGCTTGCCTACCTCGTCCTGGCCCTGTCGACGGGTCAGTACTGGTGGAGCGTCTCTCAGCTCATGATCAAGCTGCGCGGGACCATGGTCGAGGCCATCTACCGCAAGGGCCTCGTGCTCCACCTCGACGCCGCGCGCAGGGTCGGCGGCGGCAAGGCGGCCAACCTGATGAGCGTCGACACCGACCGCATCATCAACTGCCTCGACGCCCTCCATCAGATGTGGTCCGGACTCATCTCGCTCGTCGTCGGCTGCTACGTCCTGCACAACCTCCTGGGCATCGCTTTCCTCGCTCCCATCCTCACCGTCGGCTGCTGCCTCGGCGTCACGCCCCTGATCAGCCGCGGCATGGGAGACCGGCAGAAGACCTGGAGCGAGCGCACAGACGCCCGCGTCAACCTGCTCAGCTCCGCGATCGCCGACATCAAGGGCGTCAAGTTCTCGGCCTACGAGGACGTCATCGAAGCCAAGCTGCTCGAGGCCCGGGACGCCGAGATCTCGGCCATGAAGCGCTTCTACTCCAAGTTTGTGCTCGTCGCGGGTTTCAGCAACTGCAACGGCGAGCTGATGGTCGTCACGTCGTTCCTGACCCTGATAATCATCGACCTGTGCACCGGCTCTCGGCGCTTCACCCTCAACAACGTCTTCACCGCCACGACGCTCGTTGCCATCATCCAGGAGCCGCTGCTGAGGTTCGGTCAGGATTACGCCAAGCTCCTTGCCGCCAACGCCAGCGTCAAGCGGATCGAGGCCTTCCTCAACGAGCAGGAGTGCGGCCCGCTCCGCGACCAGGCCGTCGCCGCCTTCGTCGATCCGGCACAGGCGGACGCGCGATCATCGTCGTCGACGTCGGCGGCAGCCGCCGTCCTCGAGGGCGCCGACCTTGCTTGGAAGGACAACGTCGTGCTCCGGGGCGTGAGCGTCGAATTCCCGCGGGGTCAGCTGACGATGATCTGCGGTCGGCTCGGTGAGGGCAAGTCGACCTTGATCCAGACGCTGATGGGCGAGACCGACGTTGTGGCAGGCACCTGCCGCCTGCCGCTGCTGGCGTCCCAGGTGGCCTACGTCAGCCAGGACATCTGGCTCCAGGAGAGCAACTCGATCCGCCAAAACATCATCTTCTCGTCGGACATCTGGGATCCCGAGCGCTTTGCCTTGGTGCTAAAGGCGTGCGCTTTGGAACAGGACCTGGCGCAACTGCCCGCAGGCCTCGAGACCAAGGCCAACGCGCTGAGCGGCGGCCAGCGGCAGCGCGTCGCCGTCGCAAGGGCGCTCTACAGCGATGTCGAGACGTACATCTTCGACGACATCACGAGCGCCCTCGACGCCGAGACGGCAGCCCACCTGTGGCGGTCGCTATTCGGTTCAGCAGGCCTGCTCACGGGAAAGACGGTCATCATGGCCACCAATGCCGTCCACCTCCTGTCTGATGCGGCCCTCATCGTCCGGATCGAAGGCGGCCGGATCGCCGAGCACGGCAGCTTCCAGGACATCTCGTTCAAGGGTAAGCGGGCCATCGCCAGGAGCAGTCAAGACTCTCGCCGTAGCGAGGAGGCTCCCGCCGAGGCTACCGGCGCTGCCAATTCGACCGCCAAGCCAAGTGGCAAGGCTGAAGACATCGAGCAGGTCGAGACGGGTTCGGTGGGGATCCACGTGCTCAAGATGTGGATCAAGGCGGCCGGTCTCGGTCTGGTCTTCCTCCTCGTGTGCAGTCTCACGCTGCTGGCGGGGCTGCTTTCCGGTCATCCCTACGTGCTGCAGGCCTGGGCGCTGGAGCAGGAGAGGAATCCGTTCCACAACATCGCCCTCTACGCACTGGTGTGGCCCGTGATGGTCCTGTCTGCGGGCGGCATCCTCCTCAGCCAGCTCTGGCTGATGATGAAGCCGCTCGCGGCGGGGGCGGGGACCCGCCTCCACGCCATGGAGCTTCGAGGCGTGCTGAGGGCGCCCATGTCGTTCTTCGATTCGACGCCGGCGGGCCGCATCTCGAACCGCTTCTCGCAGGACCTCAACATCCTCGACTTCGTCTTCCCGATCAACACGCTCATGGCTCTCGGCAACACCTTTGACGTGGTCGGGCTGATGGTGACGCTGGTGGTGCCGGCGCCGTTCCTCATCCTCGTCTGCGCGCTTGTCATCGCGCTGGCGATTGGTGCGCAGCGCCTCTACGCGCCCGCCAGCCGGCAGCTGCGGCGGCTCGAGATGGCCACCCGCAGTCCGCTCTACACGCTGTTTGGTGAGATCTCGACCGTGTCGGGCCTAGCCACGCTGCGCGGCCTGCGGCGCGAAACGGTCTTTTCCGAGACCAACAGCCTCATCCTCGACGAGTCGCAGAGGCCCTACTACATGCTGCTGGGCGTGCGGCGGTGGCTACAGACGTGGCTGCTGCTCTTTACGATGCTGGTCAACACGGTGCTGGTCATCATCGTCGTGTCGCTGCGCCACTCGTCCAACGTCGGTGCCGTCGGCGTCGCGCTGGTCCAGGCCACGATGCTGGGCAGCTCGCTCAACGCGACCGTGATCGGCTACACCGAGGCCGAAATCGCCGCCGTCGCCCTGGAGCGGATCCGGCAGTTTAGCCAGATCGCTCCCGAGGAGGCGGCCGGTGCTTCCCGGAACGGCGAGACGTGCTCTCTTCCAGTCGAGAGCGTCAAGGGCGAGATCAGGTTCGACGACGTCACGGTGGCCTACCGCGAGGACCTGGAGCCGGCGATCAAGGGCCTCTCGTTCCACCTGCCGGCGGGCAAGCGGCTTGGCATCGTCGGGCGGAGCGGGTCGGGCAAGAGCACGACGCTGCTGGCCCTCTTCCGCATCCTCGAGGCAAGGTCGGGGCGTATCGAGATTGACGGCGTGCCCATCGCGGCCCTGCCGGTCAAGCAGCTGCGGTCGCTGCTGTCCATCATCCCTCAGAGCCCGCTGATCCTTGCCGACACGGTGCGCAACAACCTGGACCCGGAGGGCGTGTGCGGCGACGACGAGATCTGGGCGGCGCTGCACAAGTGCCACGTCTCTGAGCTGGTCAAGAAGCTGCCGCAGCAGCTCGAGGAGAAGCTGGGCAACGACAGCACGTTCCTGAGCGCGGGGCAGCGCCAGCTGCTGGCGCTGGCGCGCGCGGTGCTGCGGAAGCGCAAGGTGCTGGTGCTCGACGAGGCGACGAGCGCCATGGACGTCGAGACGGACGCGGCGGTGCAGGACGTGCTGCGGACGCAGTTCTCGGACTGCACCATCATCGCCGTTGCGCACCGGATCGCCACCATCATTGGGTTTGACCAGATCATCTGCATGCAGTCGGGCGTCGCCATCGAGTCGGGCACGCCCGAGGAACTGCTGGCGCTGCCCCAGGGCTGCTTCCGCTCCCTCGCCGTCGAGCAGAAGTGCATCTGAGGCGGGGTCGTGTTCTCTCGTCAGGGCCGTGCATGACGCCGCTTGTATATACATATACCACGATTCTTGGCTTTCCTCGTGACGACGGCAACGACAATCGGACGACGTTGAAAGGGAGACGCTCGAATGGGTCCCACGTCAGACCGGCAGCCCCAGGCCTGGCCTGGCCTGGCCTGCAGACGACGCGTTGGACGCGAGGCAGCCCGCGTGCGACATGCGTCTTGATTTCTCTCCACATTTTGGAGTTGGGTTTGTGTTGGACCTCAGGGCACGCCAGACGGACAGACCGGCTGGCAGGCAGGCGAGCAGGCAGGCAGGCAGGCGGGCAGACAAGCACCGCACCCTGGCGGCACCTTTGTGCTTGCTGCGCAACCAGCCAAACCTTGTTGCCACCTTGCACCGTGCCACCATTCCGCCACCTCGCCTGCCATCCGTCCCACCGCCGCCTGCGCCTCGCACATCGCACGTTGCACTTCGCACCTGCCGCCTGACCGCCACGGCCCTGGCGCCCGGGCTACTCACGCCGCACACGCCCTCGCATGTCCTCGGCCGCCATCCACTCGAGCAAGCTCCTCCACGACTACCAAGAGCGCCAAGCAGCAGAGCAAGAGTCGAGCCGCGACACCTATCCCTCGCGCTTCCCCTTTGGCGGCGAGGGATCGGGCCCATTTGGAGGCGCCAGCAGGTCAACGCCGGCCACAGAGTCATTTGTCTCCTCCGCCACACCAGCGCCATCCGCCGCCATGGCACACCTCTCGCGCTTCGATCCCGGCCCTTCCAGCCATGCCGCCGCCGCCGCCGCCGACAACCCGCCGTGGGCCGACTCGCAGATGTCGACAGCCACGTCAAGGCTTGCGCTGCGCGACATCACCCAGTACGACTACCCCGCTGGATGGGGCGCCCAGCCCATGGCAGAGTACGGAGGCCTCACCCAGGACAGCGCAAGCCGCATCGCCACCCTGCAGGCCAAGCTCAACCAGAAGCTAGGGCCCGAGTACCTCAGCCAGAGGCCAGGGCCGGGAGGAGGTGAGTAGCAGCGTGGATGCAAGCGGCCACCTCTCTCGATGCATCCACTTGCCACTCCGGCGCTGACTCCTGCCGCTACCGCATTCTCTCTTCGTCTTCACCCCCTGCTTCTCGCACCTGACATGCCACCAGGTCCCAAGCTGACCTACATCGAAGGCTGGAAGCTCATAGACCTGGCCAACGAGGTGTTTGGCTTCAACGGCTGGTCGACGACCATCGTACGCCTCGACATCGACTACGTGAGTGGCTGCCCTGCATCGTCTTTGCCTCTGGCCCCGGCGCCCTCTTGACTGATCCCACCGGATGGCCCTGTACGTCGCGCCCTCCCGCAGCTCGACTGCTCGCCCGAAGGGACCCGCTTCAACGCCGGCGTCAGCTGCATCATCCGCGTCACGCTCCGCGACGGCGCGTTCCACGAGGACGTCGGCTACGGCAGCGCCGAAAACGCCAGGCAAAAGCATGCCGCCATTGAAAAGGGAAAGAAGGAGGCCGTCACCGACGCCACAAAGCGAGCGCTCAAGAACTTTGGCAAGCTGCTCGGCAACTGCACCTACGACCACTCGTTTGCCAAAGAGGCGCTCAAGGTGCCCATCCCGGCACAGAAGTTCGATCCGTCGCAGCTCCACCGTCGCACCGACAGCAGACCCCCTCCCCCTCCACCAGCGTCTGCAGCGAATCCCGCAAACATGGCCTCGGGGACGTCGGCCGAGGTTATGGGTCCACCCGCCCCGCCGCGGCCGATGAGGACCAACACGGCCCCGCCGCCCGCCGTCGCACCCAAGCCGCCAGCTGAGCCGGCACCGGTACCCAGGGACGCCGCGCGCGCGGGCGCCACTGACCAGGGCAGCGAGACCGTTAGCCCACCGACAGCGGCAGCAGACGCACCGGTGGCGAACGCGGCAAATCCTTCAGAGACCCCGGCTGCCATTGCGGCGCAGGCTCGCGCCGCTGCCGAGAGGCAGGAGCGGTCACAGGCGGCGCGCGCAGCCTATCTCCAGAAGCAGCTCGAGCAACAGGCTCAGGCTCAGGCTCAGGCTCAGGCGCAGGCGCAAGCGCAGGGTCAGGGCCGGAATGGACAACTTGCTACTGCAGGGCCGAGACGCTCCATGACCGAGGCTCCAAGGCAGGCATCGGGTGGCAGCAATGGACAGGGAGCAATGGCTGCGCCATCGCGCACGGATGCTCGGATGTCGGCGCACGGCTCCGCTGCACCGAGCGACGAATTCGGCGACGACATCCTGGATGAGGCGCTGGGGGGCTACGACGAGACCGACATTGCCGATGCCGAGGCAGCCTCGATGGCGTTGGAGATGGAGATCGAAGCGGCAGCTGCCGCCGCCGAAGCCAGCGCCTTCGCCGACGATGCTAGGCGCAACGTGGGCGGTGCGGACGACAGCGGTGTCTTTTTCAACGACGAGCAAGCGGCGCAGATCCAGGTGAAAAAGGAGAAGGTGGCGCAGGCCGAGTCGCGGGCTTCTCCACACTCGGTCTCTGCGCCGGCAACGGGGGCTAGCAGGGATACGGCGAGGGCAAAGGCGGCCGCCATGCCGACAAGCCGCTCCCTCAGTCCGGTCAAGCAGGTTCAGCAGCAGGACTTGCGACCGCGGAGGGCTGGCAGCGTGGGCCGCTTCCTCTCGCCTCCGCCCGAAGAAGCAGTGAGTCTGTTCGGCCGAGACCCAAGGCGAAAGGCAGTTTGCCGTCCCAGCGCTGACGTCTCTTGAGCGAGCCGATCATACGTGGCCGAACAGAACGGTGCTCTTCTGAACGGCGCAGGTACGGCGCAGGTCAAGGTCGAAGCCGTCAACGGAGTCAACCGGACCCGGCCGCAGAGGGCAGCGGCAGCGCCCATGGGCGGGATCGAGGCGGCCTCGTCGAATGCGGTGCGACGCGACACGGGCAGAGCCCTGGGACGGTCGGTGGGTCATTCGTACGTGGTGACGCGAGGGACCAAGCGCCACCACGGCGAGGGTGAGGGGGCCGTGGGTATGGGCGCAAGCGTCTCCCCTCCTACCGGTCTGGCAGGCGGCGCAGCATCGACGGCAAGCCGGCCACCTCAGCGCAACGGGCCGACGCGGCTCGCAGCGCAGGCGGGCTCGAAGACGATGGCCTACTCGAGCGGCGCCGCTCCGACCTCGACGGGATGGTCGCACAACATGGGCGGCGAGCCCGTGTGTGCGCGGCAGCCGTTGGCGCAGTCGGCGGCGGGCGATGACGGATCCGCCAAGCGGCCACGTCAATAGCAAGAGGCCGTGGAGATGCCAACGTCTTTCCACCTTCTCCTGCCGGCTTCGGGTTGGGTCCTCGTCCTCTTCTTCCCTCTTTCAGCAAGACATACCATGCGCTGCGTACCGTGCTTTGTTTGATTGGCTCCTCGACATGCAGATATCTCCGCGCCTCGCTCATCTCAAAAGCATATCAGATGGCATTCATCAGGAGTAGAGGGTCCCATCCCTGCGTGAGGACCGGGGACAGAGTGGAACACTTCACTCGGCCGGGTGTGGCTGGCACGGAGCTTCGCCGAAGGGTCTTCGTGCGCGGCGTGCACTGGCCACCAACGCCCACCTGTGTGGGTCTCGCCTCTCTCTGCATGTTGAAATGACCCCGATGCTCGTCTGTTCGCTCGTGCTGGTCAGCACGACAGCGAGGATGGTGGCGTCTTCTACGTAGCGCACCGAGTGCGAGGAGCGAGGGGAAATGGCGGGCGGATGCTGGGCCAGGTCGGGCCAGACTTCTCTCGGCAGATGGCCGCGTGCGTGTGCGCGTCGCAGGCCTGCCTGGCCTGGCCAGCGAGGCGGTGTGTGAGTTGTGACTCGGAGAGGGAAAGCCAGACGAGCCAGAGATTTCCTCGCCTCGACATCTCGGCCCATCGGAGAGCCGTCTGTATCGTCAGAGCGTGCGAGCCACGAAGGGGGTCTTCGGCAATCATGTCATCGGATTGCGCCACGATGAGATAACCGATGGAGACGCCGACGTCGCCGACGACGACGACGACACGACAGTGCCTTGGAGAGGTGGCGGGGTGATCTGCTGGCTGGAGGCCTGCACGGTGAGGTCGCGCTTGGAGCGGGTGGGGTACAGCGAAAGCAGGCTAGGGCAGGGCAGCAAGGCAGACATACGGTGCGAGAGCCCTGAGTCGGGACATGGACGGCGATCTACCGACGACCAACGATTGACGGCCAACGTAACGCCAGCTGAGGCCCTAGCTGTCTGGCTGCCCCACGTTTGGGGTCTGGCGGCTGCAGGCAGGCACCGCACCGCACCGCGCTGCCTGCCTGCCACCCCAGCCAACCCAACCGCACCGCTGCACCCGATCCTTCGCGATAGGCAGGTAGAAGAAACAGCTGCCGCCTGCCCTCGCCCCTCGCCGGCCGGCCCGTAAGCTCCTTGCCTGCCTGCCTGCCTTGCCTGCCTTGCCTCGCTGCCCGCCGACTGCTCCTTGCCCCGCTTCCCGCTCTCCGCTCCTCGCTCCCCGCTCCTCGCTCCTTTCTTCTTCCTGTCTACGAACCCCCTCGCCATCCACCACGCTTGCCTCGCCATCGCCGCCGGACACCACTGCTTCGCACCTCACCCACGCCCGCCCCTCGCAACCTCTCCGCCTCTCCCCCTCTTTGGCGTCCCGCTCTCCTCCCTGGTCCTCCCAAGACACACCCCCCGGGCTACCTCGCCTGCACGCATAGAGACGACGCACAAATCTGGACAAGATGGCGACCTCACAACTCAAGCCCCTCCCCTTCTACGCCCAGTTCACCGCTGGCGCCATCGCCGGCGTCACCGAGCTCCTCTGCCTCTACCCGCTCGATGTCGTCAAGACGCGGATGCAGCTCCAGGGCAAGGCCGAGATCCCGGGCGCAGACAGGTACAATGGCATGGTCGACGCTTTCAAAAAGATTATCAAGAACGAAGGGTGAGTGCTGCGCCACGCTCTTGTTGCTACGGAAGGCGACTGCGAGGACCGCCAGCTGACCCGAAGGCTCCCTTCATCCCGCCTTGCGACGCATGCTCGAACCTGCACACGCCCCCGCCCCCGCCCCGTAGAGCTGGCCGGTTGTACCGCGGCCTGGTGCCGCCATTGATGCTCGAGGCGCCCAAGCGAGCCGTCAAGTTTGCCGCCAACGACTTTTGGGGCAAGACGTTCCGCGACCTGACGGGGGCCGACAAGATGACGCAGGGGCTCTCGGTGCTGACGGGCTGCTCGGCGGGCGCGACCGAGTCGGTGGTGGTGGTTCCGTTTGAGCTGGTCAAGATCCGCCTCCAGGACCGCGCCCAGGCGCACCTCTACACGGGCCCCATGGACGTCGTCGGCAAGATTGTCAAGGCCGACGGCGTCCTCGGCCTCTACGCCGGCCTCGAGTCGACCTTTTGGCGCCACGTGCTCTGGAACGGCGGCTACTTTGGCGTCATCTTCCAGGTCAAGTCGCTCCTGCCCAAGCCCGCGGGCAAGGCCGAGGAGCTGCGCAACAACTTTGTCTCGGGCGCCATTGGCGGCTTTGTGGGCACCGCGCTCAACACGCCCGCCGACGTCGTAAAGAGCCGCATCCAGAACACGCCAAACGTGCCCGGCGTGCCGCGCAAGTACAACTGGACCTTCCCCTCGATGGCCCTCATCGCAAAGGAGGAGGGCTTCGGCGCGCTCTACAAGGGCTTCACCCCAAAGGTCCTCCGACTCGCACCGGGAGGCGGTGTCCTCCTCCTCGTCGTCGAAGTCGTCCTGGGCCAGTTTAGAAACCTCCTCGGACCGCCGTACAAGTAAGAGCGTCGACGGCTCACCAGAATGGGCGGCGCGGGCGGCACTTTGCGCGCCAGACGAGATCCGGCCTGACGTCCGGCTCGGCGGGGCAGCCCCTCCACTTGGCGGCATCGACGTTCTTCGAGGATTGCAGCCTCGGACGACGCTTCTGGCGGGATCAGCTTCCGATGGGCTCGAGAGAGTCTCAGGCCAAAGCCTCCCCGTCTGCCCAGGTGGTCTACCGCCGCTCAACCTGTACCCCTTCGCGTCCCTCGAGGACGAGCAGCATCGCAGCACGACAACGACGACGACAAGGACGAAGACGAAGACGAAGGCGATAGACGCAGGAACCCCTCTCGGCTGTACGACTACTGTACGAACAACGAACTCCTTGCACCACGACTGATCCGGGCGGCCTCTGCCTGCCTGTGCCGATTCTATGGCTGGGGCTGAGCGGCAACCCAGCGTTCTCGCCGTCCGCGCCTCCGCCTGATCTAGAGATCGATACAAGGGGCCCAGTGGCCGCGTATCGATCTCTGCTGCACGTCGGTGGTTGTGGATATTGATCGACTGTTTGATTGAGTGGGATGTTGTTACAGTATTTAGACAGTACGCGGGCACAGGCGTGGCTTGATGTCGCAGTCGCGCACATGGCGGGTCGCTGAAGGTGGACGCGCTGGGCGATGCGGTGCGGGCAGTGTTGGGAGTATGAGACGGAGCAACCGAAAGGGCTCGGCACGACGTCGAGACAGCTCAGGGCAGCAGGCACGTCGATGGCACCGGAGCCAAGCTGGCGAACCCGCAGCAGGACGGGCTATAGGTCCATCTCAAACTGCTCGTCGTCGTTGCTCCCATCCTGTTTTCCGCTCTTCGGTTGCTGCTGCTGCTGCTGCTGCTGCTGCTGCTTGGGTTGCTGGGCAGCAGGAGCAGCCGACTTTGGAGTGGACGCACCCAGCCTGGCCGCACCCCCGCCGAGGTTGCTAAACGAGTAGGAGCCGGGCTTGAAGTTGGACGACTTCTCGGGCGACTTTGAGATCTCTGCGGGGATGGATGCGAGGAGCTTCGAGGGCGACTGGGAGAGTGGCGACGAGGCGAGCGAGAGGAGCTGGTCGCGCGAGTAGACGATGCGGGAGCTGTGGGGAGGGGCAAGCGTAGGATGAAGCATCGGGTCGTGTCAGTCTGATTACGTCGAGCAGTCTGGCTCCTCCGTCTTGGGCTCCTCTGCGGCTCCAGGCTCAGACCGACGGTCGTTGGGCCAACGAGTCCTCACCCTCCGGGCGTGCTGCCGTAAAAGTTCATACCGCCGGGCGTGGCCGAGAGGAGGTCGCGGCCAGACTTTGTGAGGCGGTCTGCCGGGCCGGCCGCTCGGATGGGGATGGCGTTGGTAGCTTGCGATGACATCGTGCCCAGGTGGAATGATATGAGACTGGGGTCGCAAAGAGTGCAAAGGTGCGAGATCAAGGCGAGAAACAGAGAGAGAGAGAAAGGGGCGCGGTAGGTGTGCCGAGTGCAGATTCCGTTTGCGCGAGTGCGAAGGCCGAGGAGAGGGATGCGAATAGACAGGACTGGATCGATGCGAGAGGTGCTTGCTCTGTTCTGCTTGTAGAAAGGACGGTGCTCTGCACTTGCTGCGCCGAGAAGGTGAGGAGGTCGGACGAGGTTGTTGGTGGTGGAGAGACAGAGGCAAGGATCGGGCGGGGGCACGAGCCTTATTTATGGCCCGTGGGTTGCTGGGGTGCCAGACTAGGCCGGTGCTGGCCGGCGGGGCGGTGCTGCCGTAGAGGGCGGCGCCCCCCGTACTCTAGCGCGGGTCGAGGCCGGTGTTGGGCTCGAGGCTAGGGAGTACGTGCACGGGTCGGATGGCCTGGCCTGGCCTGGCTGGCCCGGCGGCGCTTGTCCAGGCCGTGCGCCGGGTCAACCAGGCGTAGGTCGATGGCGTATGGCGTCGTCACAGCGCGGGACCCCCGGCCGCCTTTTGCGCCAGCTGCTGAGGGAGCGACCGAGGAAAGCGGGGGCGGAGCCAAGGGACCCTATCCTTTAACCTGACCTGCCTGCTGGCTCCACGTCGGCAGCCACGCACGCAACCGACCGACCGACCGCCCAACCAACCAACGAAGCGGGGGCTAACCTATCCGGGGCTGGGCTGGCCTGGCTGTGCTGCCAGCGCAACAACGACGTACGGCTGGCCTCTCTTCTGTCGGCTCGCCACCTCCACACAGGGGCAGGGCAGGCCAGGCCAGGTTACCCCCGCGTGACGAGGCCCAACCGTCCTCTGTCTCGTCCTTTATCTTTGGCGCGCCTCGCCGTCTGTGAAAATGCGCCAATCAGATCCCACCAGCGCCCGCGCCGTCCCTCGCCGTCGCTCTCTATCTGCGCTCCGGCTGCCTTTCCGACCCGGCCCGCACCGCCCCGTTGCGATATCTGTCGCACCGTAGTCGGTGGCCGGCCAAGAGGTTGACTGACTCCCGGCCAACACGACACGAGTCACGCACGTCTTTCAGGCGCTCGACGGGGGGTGCGGCCGCCAACAGACCCCTCGGCCGTTTGTTGGGACGAGGTCCTTTGGATCCCTCCGAGACATCAGCCGACGTCGTCATCATGATTCTCTTGCCTGTCTTTGCTCTCTCTTGATGCTCTATCTCGCACCACCATATAACGGGATCGGGACTCCGAATGACGACTCGGCCCCGCCCCTTCATTCGCATTGTCTCCGGCTGAAAGAAGTTGTATTGCTCAACGTCTCCGCTCAGCGCTGCTGCTACCTGGCGGCACCGAACCACGGCAGGCGGATCATCGACACGCCCGCCCGCCCTGGCCTGGCCTCCTTGACCGCCGTCCGTCCCGGCATCTCGCTCTCGCGCACGCAGGTCCAGTACGTGACTTTCGCTGCGTGTTTGCTCGAGCTCGACGCTCATCGCCGCATCACGGGCCTGGCTGGACCTGTACCTAACGAGCCGGCCGCGACGATAAGCTTTCGACAGGGGGAGCATGAACTCGGACGTACGGCGTTCTTGGGACCCCTGACCTATCGAATCTTGACCAGATCCCGTGGCCATCCATGCATCGGCTCGCTGCAATCGCCGTCGCAGCGAGACGTCTTCGTCGCCATCGACTGGCCCCTGTTCGGCGCCACGAGCCCGATTCGGATCAGTGATGGCAACCACGTGATCACAATTTGGCCCCTGGTTGAGCCACGGCGAGACGAGGATAGCGTAGAGTACAGCGAAAAAGGCAACGATGTCCTCTGCGACCAGAGCGAGAACAGACGCATGACGGCGTCTCCGTCCATCCAAGGCACCATCCTCTTTGTGGGGCGAGCAAAGGGGAGGCGCCCAAGGCGGTACGACGGTGGTCGGCAGGTTTTCATCTTCCCGACGAATGAGGGCGAGGCGGCAGTGGGGAAAAGCGTGCCGTCGTCCAATTAAGACGGGGTGAGGGAGGGGAGAGGAGAGGGCGTGAAGAGCGCAGGGAGTAGAGGGAGGGAGGGCAGAAAGGGCGGAGCGCAACGCATCTCCGAGGCTCGGGTCACTCAGTCAGGAGGCAAAGGTCAGCATGGAGTCAGAGTCTGGAGGCGGTCAGCATCTCGGCGACGCTGCCAACGGCGTCCCGCTGCTAAAAGATGCTGGGGGTATCATGCGTCTCCATTGCGGCGGGACACGAAGCAGTCTATCGCAACGCCCACCTGTGTATTGAAGGAGCGAGAGGAGACACCGGTCGTTGGATATCCGATCAGCATCGTCGTCGTCCAGCGCCGCCGTCGCTGTACCCGCGGCGGGTCGGACACACTCACATCTTCACAGTGAACAGCTCCTGCGGCAGTCCCTGCTGCACCTCGCACTTGATCACCTTGAGGCCCGCCTCGGCAAAGACGCGCTCGTAGGCCTTTGTCGAGCGTGTAATCGAGTGGTCCTCGTCGTCGTACCACACCGTCTCGTTGCCGTCGGCGGCCTCCTGGCACACGTTTTCCTTGACCACGATGATGCCCTCCTCGCCTTGACCGTCCTTGAGCGCTTGTCTTGAGCGCTTGAGGAAGGCGACCAGGTCCTTGTCCGATAGGTGCTGCAGGCACCACTGGTTCCACACGACGTCGTACTTGAGCGGCTCGTGCTTGCTGCCCGCTTCGTGGTCGTCGCCGGTGGATGACGTCGCTTCCGCGGCCGAATCTGCGGATCCTGTCGCAGGGCCGCCTTCGTTTTGGTCATCGACCGAGACGGTGGGATCGAACTCCTTGCCCTTGCCCTTCTGCGCCGAGCTGTAGGGTCGCGCCGGGTCAATGTCCTGGAGCGTCGAGCAGTGGAAGTGGGCGGCCTTGCGGGCCTGGAACGGCGACTGGGACGGCGGCGTGGCGAGCGGCAGCCACTTTGGCGAGTTCTTCTTGGCCTCTGCGAGGAACTTGGGCACGGGCTCGACCATGTGCACTTCGTCGACGATGGGGAGCAGGCTGTTTTCCGTCACCCGGCCGACGCCCGCGCCGCAGTCGAGCGCCCGGGTGCGCGCCTTGCCCTTTCCGCCACGGGCAGCGACCTTGTCCTGCTTCCAGGCAAAGGGGCTGGTGTTGATCGAGGCGGGGGCGCAGTACGAGAGGCGCGGCAGCACCTTGAGCAGGAAGGTGCGTGACCCCAGCGCATCGATGCGCGAGACGTGGCCGAAGCCGCCGAGGACGCCGTCTGTCGAGAGCGGGTAGAGAGCACAAGGGACAGCACAGAGAGAGGGGGAAAAGGTCAGCGACGGGCGAGCTAGGTTGAGCGGGGGATGGGGCCGCGACGAGGAGCCTTGACTCACCGACGGTGGGGGCGACGCCCTCCCAGTACTCGACGCCGCGCTTGACGTCGGGCGAGGGATGGATGACGCGGGCAGCTTGCGGCATTGAGTCGAGGGGGGCCGATGGCTTATGGCGCCGGACGAGGCAGTGGAAAGGAGGCTAGGCTAGGGGAAGGGGACGGGGAGGATGGCTAGCAAGACGAAGGCCGCAAAGCTTTGGCGGTTCCCTCGAGTGCACCCTTTTTTCGCTTCTTCCGAAGTCGGTGCTGCCTCGGCCAGGGGGCGCCGCTCGGATCCGCCGGCGTCTTTCTCTGACTGGCTGCGTGGCTGTCCTGCATGGGGCGGCGGGCCAGCGCTTGCTCGACTCCACTTCGCAACGCCACGCTCCCTTCCCCTTTCCTTGCATCGTCCACCACCACTCCTCTGCTGCGCACCTCTGCCAGCACACATACCCCGCCCCTCTTCCCGCTCGTCTTCACTGAGCGGACACTGTCGGCACTACTCGCCCATCGATCGCCATGGCCCACGTCCACCCAAGCAGGATGGGCCGCGTGCCCCACTCCGACTCAGCCAACACCGACCGCAACGCCGGCTCCACTTTTGTCCGAGGCCCACCACCCCATCTGCAGCGCCAGGAGCGCGACTTTGGAAGCAGCCGCGACGTAGATCGCGAGAGGCAGCTCAGGGAGCGGCTGCTCGAGTCAAAGAGGTCTAGGGACGACGGAGGCGACCGCAGCCGTGGCGGCGACGATGACGGGCGAGATCGACGATTCTCCGACAGACGTGGCGACGGCGACGGCGACGGCTACGGCTACGACGGCAGCAGTCGAGGCCGGGATCGGGACGACGATGATCGCGACCGAAGCTACAGGGATCGCTCCCCTCGCGGCGAGGGCGGAAGGGCGCGCCGACCGTCGCCCAGCTACGACTCACACGACACCCAGCGCCGAGGCGACTACTCCCGGCCGCCACCGCCGCCACCGCGCTTCGACGGGCCGCCTCGCCCCTACGAAGACCGCTACGAGCCTCCTCGAAGGGACCAAGACGCTCGTGCTGGCAACATGTACCCTCCGCGGAACGGCGGCCCCCTCGAATCGGGTGGCCAGGATGGCGGCGCCGGAGGAGGCTGGAGGAGGGGCCCTCCGCAATTTGGCGACGCTACGGACGGAAGCTTTTTCGAGAGCCGCAATCAGCAGCGGAAAGCATCGACCCTGTCCATCTGGCCGCCGTCGCCCAAGTCACCCCTGCCGGACTCGGAGGATGAGCGCGAGAAGGAGAGGGAGCGGAAGCGAAAGAGCAAGGGCCGGTCGTCGAAGCACTCGTCCAGCCGGCACAAGCACAAGAGCAGCAGCAGCTCGCACCGAGACCGCGACCGCCACTCGAGCTCCCGCCGCCACCACAGCTCGAGGAGCAAGCACACCAGCAGCTCGTCCAAGAGGCGAAGGGACGACAGCGACGACGAGAGCGAGAGCGACAGGAGCGACGACTACGACGACGACGAAGACAGAAGGCACAAGAGCCGGAGCAGCAAGCACCACCGCCATCGTCACCATCGGTCTTCGCATGACAGGGAGGATCGACCTCGATCCCGCTCCGACAGGCATCGCAGCGAGGATGCCAAGGAGGACCGAGAGAGGCGACGCAGCACTCGCAGCCGTTCGGCGCGGCCGCGCTCGAGGTCCGTTTCGTCGGACGAGTCGTCTTCATCGGATCGCTCAGCGCATCGCCGCCACAGATCGAGGAGCGCCTCGAAGCGGTCGCGCAGCCGAGGTGCCGACGGCAAGGATATCGACGACGAGCTGGACCGCTACGACGAAAATCGGGACGAGTGGGAGCGCGGGCTGAAGCGGGCCAAGAAGGGCAAGGGCCGCGGCGGCGATGGTCACGACGACGAAGACGACGATGACGAGGAAGAGGTGGGACCGCAGCTCCCCGTCGCCGACGACGGCAAGCCCATCGACCCGCGCGCGTACGGAGGCGCGCTGCGCCCGGGCGAAGGCTCGGCCATGGCCGCCTTCCTGCAGGAGGGCAAGCGCATCCCGCGGCGTGGTGAGATTGGCCTGACGCCCGAGCAGATTGAGGCCTACGAAAAGGCCGGCTTCGTCATGAGCGGCAGCCGACACCGCAGGATGAACGCGGTGCGCATCCGCAAGGAGAACCAGGTCATCAGCGCAGAGGAAAAGCGGAGCATCCTCAAGATGCAGGCCGAGGAAAAGGCCAAGAAAGAGGCGCAGATCGTGGCCCAGTTCCGCGAGATGGTCGACACCCTCACGCCCGGCGGGGCGCCCTGAGGATGGGACGGAAGCGGAGAGGAATGTGGGTGGACGGCAGTGTTGGATTCGGTTGTCACGACGCAGGCCTGTGCTGCTAGGCTGCGCTGGATGAATGCAAGCTTCATACGCCATGCCAAACGAGGGCGAATGCGGCCGTGACGAGCAGGTCGAGACCGGCCGATGCGGATACTGGGAAGGCGTGGAGTCGGGAGACGGGGATGGCGTTGATCTCGTCTGTCTTTGCGGCGGGGAAGAGCTGCCGAAGCAGACCGAAAGCTTCAGAGCGTGACGATGAGGAAGAGGAGAAGATGGAGGATGAGCGACGACACCATCCCGACCGAAAAAAACAGCAATGTCCAGCATCGACTTACCAGCCTGGAGGTCCGTCCCATCGACGTAGAGCAGCGCTTTCGCAAACGCACGCTGCTCGACGTCGGCCCGTGCCTGCCCGATCGCGGTATCGTCTCCTTGCTCCGTCTCCGCCTCCGAGGCGGCCGCGGCGGGAGGCGGAGATGGGAAGAAGGAGGCAATGCCGAATGAAGAGCCGCCCCGTCTCGACCAGAGGCGCGCCACGTCGCAGCGCACCTGATCGGTACCGCAGACGATCGAGCCGCGTTGTAAGGTCGGAACGTCCGCTTCTCCGTCATCGTCGTCATCATCGTCATCGTCATCGACCTGTCCACTCGTAGCAGTCGAGAGAGGCGATGGTGAAACAAGCTCGCCCGTAACGTCCCGCGATACGCTGCGGCCAGTATGCGCCGTTACCTGCCATTCTACCTTGGCCGATCGAGGCAGGTTGCCGCTGGGCAGCGTCGCAAAGATCATGGGCGGAGCGATGGATGCACCCGACGAAAAGACAGCGTGCGGTGCAAGCCAACACCCTTGCCCTTGCCCTTCGTCGTCGTCGTCGTCGTCGTCGTCGTCGTCGCTGCCGTCGCTCGATTCGCGCGGTTGCGCCTCGAACTGGGCGGCCCAGCACCGTCGCGCCATCTCGACATCGACGCTCTCGTCGAGCCAGCAGATGCCGCCGTCCATCCAGCCTCGACCCAGGCGGGACTCGAGCGTGGCGTGAAAGATGCGGCGCGCGTGCTGCATGGCCAGCGTGCACTGTAGGCCCGCGGCCTGATGGGCAGAGAGACCTTCAGCTACGTCCGGCAGAGAGAGGTCCTTGGGCCTGAGTCCAATCTGACCCGCGATCAAGATCCTCTCGCCTATCGTGACGGCCTGCGAGTAGGGCCCGATGTTGGCGGGCGCCCAGTAGGACCGGCCTTGGACGTGGAGCGCCTTCCTCTCTGGCAGGGGTGTAGCGCCGGAGGACGGGGAGAGGTCGTCGAACGCCACGGCCGAGAGGTGGAAGCGAGCCGAGGATGTAGGCCGCACGGCGATGCAGGCGCGCGTCGGAGGCGAGGACCCAAAGTGCCGCTTGTAGATGGCGTTGATGGTCGGGAAGAGGGACTGGGAAGAGAGGTAGAGGTTGATGTGGGTGAGATGGGTGAGGTCGAGCGGAGGCGTCTGGCCGGACAGCAGGGATTTCACCCTGCGGAAGGCGGTCACCACTTCTTCCTCGAGCGATGACTCGGCGGCATCGATACCGTCGACATTGTTGATGCTCATCCATCTCCCTCGCCTCGTCAGCGAAGGCTTTAGCTTGCCAACGACGGTCTCCTGGTCGACGGCTAGTCGGCCCAGCCCGTCTGCTGCGATCTGGCCTCGTTGGGCTGTGCTGCCGCCGGCACTTGATGTTTCAGCCGATCCGATGGCCTGGAGCGTCCTCTTGCTGAGCGCGTCCAGATCGTCGGGGATCGTGGTCGCCTCTAGGTCGGCGGTGAGCTCTTTGTCGACGAGGGCGGCGCGCTTGATTCTCAGGTAGCTGACGCTGCCGAAGCCAGAGTCGGAGTGGATCACGGTCTCGGTCTCTTGAATCTCGATGCGCTTCTTGAAGAGCGGGCTGTCGAGGGTGAGGGTCTCGTACTCGCCGCCCTCGCCGCAGACGTGGGCGCCGTAGAGGTCGTGGAGCTTCCAGAGCTTGTGCCGCATCTGGTGGAGCGTCTTGCCCAGGTCGCGCTCCTCGAGACCTATCCCGGCGACCTTGATGAGGATCGACGTCATCCCGGCCTGGATCATCTCGTCGTAGAGCTCGGGCTGCGAGCGCTGCCAGAGGAAGGTGAGGGGCAGCAGGGCGAGCGAGGCGCGCAGAGCGACGTGCTCGACCCGGACGCGCTGGTAGTTTGAGAGGATCGCGCCCACGCTCACCGCCTCTACGTCCGGGTGGTGCCGCTTGACCTGCATCAGCAGACGGTACAGGTCCTCGGTCTCGTCCGACGGCTCATCCGACGGCTCATCGGCGCCGTCCGCGTCGGTATCGGCGTCGGCGCCGGCCTCGCCCGGCGGTCGGCGGCTTCCGTACTCGGCGGCCTGGTTGACGGCAGTGCCGCTGATCTGATGGCGGTAGAGCGGCAGGTCCATGGCGGCTGCGACGAGGTGCACCGCATCGTGGCCCACGGTCTGGTACATGTACGAGTCGAGCTCATCGGTCGAGGCCGGCGGCGCCAGCGTGGCCAGCGCCACGAGCTCGTGACCATTCTTGACGCAGTGGCACAGGTTGTAGCAGCTGTCCTTGCCGCCAGACAGCAGACCGACCACCTTCATGGTTACTGAGCTCCTGAACCACTCCGATCGGCGGTGAGGGCGACGGCGACGGGAAGCGAAGAAAGAAAGCTGACAAGGGGAGGGAGCGATGCAGGGCAGCGGCCGACGGATGGTGCCGGGTCGAGCGAAGGGCGGAGGCAGGCCAGACAGTCGAGGGAGCAGGGCAACGAGCTCGGCTGGCTGCGCCTGCTCCTCCACACGCCGCTCTTCTGCCCGCCCGCAAACTTTTTCTTCGCCCGCGGGCCCGCCTCGCCTTTCTTCCGATGACCGAGGTTTGCTCGTCTGGCTCGGTCGTCTTTGCCACCGGCGTCCATCACCTCGATCCTTTCACGCCATCCTGCATCACACTCACCGGCGCCCGACATACCTTCCCCTCCCCTTTCAGTCCTCGCCCGCCGCCCTCGCACGCAACTCGGGAAGCGATCCGACGACTGGGCTCCTAGGCTGTCGTCACATCGGCGTGGTCATGCTGTCGAGGAGAGCGTCTGCGTCGGCCTCCTCGGCCTCGACCGCCATGATGAACCGCGTCTGGTCATGCTCGGCGGCATCACTGCGGTCCAGAGCACCGAGGGCGCATCCCTCATCATCGCAAGCAGCCAGGGCGATATCGACAGCCACAAGTCGGCCTAGCCACGGCTCCTGCCTCCGTACCGGGTCCAGCTCCGGCTGCCCAGCGTTGCTGCGGACAGTGCACACACGGTCGGCCCTCGCCGGCAAGGAAGACGATCCCGAGGGTCAGCATGCCCGCCCCATCGACGAGTCCCTCCGCACCATCTTTGCCCAGCCCACACAGCGGCAGCCCAACTCCCGCACCACAAAGTTCACCATGACTTTCGCTCCCAAGAAGCCCGGCCAGGTGCTCGGCGACCCCACCGCGCCCGACCCCAAGTTTGCGGCACGCAAGCAAAAGAAGCTCGAAAAGAAGAAGCGACAGGCAGACCCCAACTACAGGAAGCCCTTCGTCTTCACAGGCTTCCCCGTCCCCACCCGGCCTGAGCGCATCGAGATGGGCGACAAGCTGGCGGCGCAGATCGACGCGCTCCGCGAGCGGCCAGACATCGTCCCGAGGCTCAGGAACTACGGCATCTCGGCGCGCACGGCCTGGTTAGTGCTCGAGCGCCTCGAAGCTCTGCCAGGGACCTTCACGACCCACCGCAAGAAGACGCTCACCGACAACGAGATCATCGCCCACCTCTACTGGACCTGGGCACAGAAGGCCAAGGGCTACATCCGCGCCAAGGTCAGGCAAAAGACCTTGACGCCCGGCGTGCCGTATGGCCGCCGCTTCAAGCCGGGCGCGATTGCGGAGCCGCCCAACGGCGAGTACTTCACTGCCGACATCGATGCGATCCGGGACTCGTATGCCATCGAGGAAGACGCGTGCCTGCCCCGGACCTGCATGTCGGCGTTCATCGATTGGGTTGAGGTCCACGTCCGTGACATCTCAGCCTCCGACTCGGCGGCAGCTGTCGACCGCGAGGTGCTGAGGGCGACGCTATCGCAGCTGTCGCTCCTGCGCAAGTCGACCGATCTTCGCCTGCCGACCTACAACTACCCGCTGGCCCGAACCCTCACCCGCCAGATCCACCTGCACATTGGCCCAACCAACTCTGGCAAGACGCACGGCGCCCTCGTCGCACTCTCCAAGGCTCGGACGGGCGTATTTGCCGGTCCGCTCCGCCTGCTGGCCCACGAGGTGTGGGAGCGCTTCAACCAAGGCACCATCTCGCCCGGCGTGCCGCCACGAGCCTGCAACCTGGTCACCGGAGAGGAGCAGAGGACCGTCGACCCGCTGGCAGGCCTCTACTCGTGCACCGTCGAGATGGTCAACCTCCAACGGGCCTGGGATGTCGCCGTCATTGACGAGATCCAGATGATTGGCGACCGTCAGCGCGGATACGCCTGGACCGACGCCGTCATCGGCTTACCGGCCAAGGAGATCCACCTGTGCGGAGAGGCGTCGACCGTGCCGCTGATCCGCCGCATCGCCGAGGCTTGTGGCGACGAGGTGTATGTCCACGAGTACCAGCGGCTGACGCCCCTCAGCATCGCCGACGAGTCGCTCGACGGCGACCTGACCAAGGTGCAGAAGGGAGACTGCGTCGTCGCCTTCAGCCGGTCGGGTATCTTCAACCTGAAGCGCGAAATCGAGCAGAAGACGAAGCTGCGCTGCGCCGTCGCCTACGGCGCCCTGCCGCCCGAGACCAAGAGCGAGCAGGCCAAGCTCTTCAACGAGGGCAAGCTCGACGTCATGGTGGCGAGCGACGCCATCGGCATGGGCCTCAACCTCAAGATCAAGCGCGTCATCTTCGACACCTTGACAAAGTGGAACGGCAAAGAGACGGTGGCCATGTCGACGTCGCAGATCAAGCAGATTGCCGGCCGAGCTGGGCGGTACGGAACCAAGCGGGAGAGCGACGAGCCGGACGGCGGCATCGTGACGACGCGCAACGCCAACGAGCTCGAGATGCTGCGCGAGGCCCTCGCTGCGCCGGTGGTTCCCATCGAGCAGGCGGCCATCCAGCCCTCGAGCGATGCGATGGCGGACCTCTCCGCGCTCCTGCCCGCCTCTGCCACTCCGACTCCCGCCGAGAGGGTTGTGGACGTCACCGAAGATGCGAGCGAGGCGTCTTCGTCGGCGGCAGCCGGGGAACCCGCGCAGACCGAGTTCAGGCCTCTGGACAAGATCTACGGCGACGTCTCGCTGCTGGCGCGGGTGGATCCGAAGTCGTTCTTCCTCTCGGACTTTTCGCAGCAGCGGAGCATCTCTCCGCTCGTCGAGGCGGCCTCGAGCAACCTGCTGACGCTGCAGGAGCGTGAGAAGTTCGGCAACGCCCCCGCCAACACGCGCGACGAGCGGCTGATGGCATTCCTGGCCAGCTGCGTGCGGCTGTTTTCGCGGGGCAACCTGGTCAAGTTTGACGCCTGCAGCGCCGATCTCGGTACGCTCGAGGTCGAGAAGCTGACGCTCGATGCGATGGGCGAGGCGCGGAGGCATCGGGGCGACAAGCTAAAGGGCGCCAAGTCGGCCGAGGAGCGCAGAATGATTGAAGCCGAGCCGCTCGCGTCGCACCTGGCGTCCGACCACCCGCTGCTCAACTCCAACACGCTGATGCTGCTCGAGTCGCTGCACCGCTCGCTCTCGCTCTACCTCTGGCTCTCGTACCGCTTCCCGCTCGCCTTCTGCTACCGGCAGGAGGTTGAGGAGCGCAAGACCAAGATGGAGGACGGCATCGAGTTCTGCCTCGAGGGCATCCGCTTTGGACGCGCGAGGAGGCTGAGGGCGCTCGGCAGGGACGCCGACGCCGACGAGGCGCTGCAGAAGAAGAGCTGGAAGGAGACCAAGAGGGACGAGAGGCGCTCCCTCGAGGATGCGGAGCAGGGCCTAAGAGGCGGCCAAGCGAGTCGGTGGGAGCGAGACGAGTACGGCTCGGAGGGTGGAGAGAGAAACGGGCCGAGGAGGTCGAAGTATGAGGATCAGGTGCGGAGAGAGGACGGCCAGTCGCAGCGGAGCGAGCGGCCACCAAGGCCGGAGAGATGGTGAATAGCCGTGGCCCGGGAATCTCTGCTGGAGCGACCGCTGTTCAGCACGGACAGAGTACCGTACTCTTTGAACTGCCGTCGCAGGCAAGGTCACGAAGAGTAGAACAATACGGCGGCAGTTCCCTTCGCATTCCGCGGTCTTTCCGAGGCGGCGTTCATGTATCTGGTGGGATGTCGGGCCAGGCTCGATCGAGTCGATCCCCGCTACCGCTGCTGCTTCGCCAGCACGCCAATGAAGCCAAGTGCGGGGTAGGTTCGGTACCTACAGCACCTAGCAGTAGCGGTGCAGTAATCGATGCCAGCAAATGCCGTCGACGTCGAGTCTAGTGAAGGCGGGGAAAGGCTGGGGGGGAAGCGTAGGAGAAAGGGATGACAGGGACGGACGACGAACGACGAACGACGAACGACTACGACGACGACGACGATTGCAACTGGACCCAGAAATAACGGCGCCTCGTCTCGACTGGCTTCGCTCGGGTAGAACAGACTCTGGATGGAAGTCGATGCCCTGGCTTCTGTGGCTAAGCAGAGAGGCAGGCAGGCAGGCAGGCAGGCAGGCCCTCTGTCGTTATTCTCCGAGAAGCAAGCGACCTGCCTGGCTGCCAAGGCTTTCATCACAGCCATGCCAAGAAGACGCTAGGCCCCTACGGCCAAAGGGGTGGAACGCACGCACGCACGACCGAATCGATTCCGAGCTCCTCCATCCTCGTGCCGCCGCACCCCACATCACCCCGACGTGACGGGCTCTTGATACCTACAGCGGTGCGCCAGCCAGGTTATACTGCTGCTACGCTGATGTTGCTGGAGCGGATGCGGTTGCCAAGATCTCGGATGGTGATGCAGAGCTCGAGCGTGTCGTCGTCTCTTTCCTCCGACGATGCAAGCGACGCGAGGCAGTGCAATCGTGACCAAGGGAGAGGATCGAAGCCGGCTCCCCTCTCGAGATCGATGCACCGGTGAATTCGAGAGATGGGGGAACGGGATGTGCTGTGCGGTGCCCTTTCATGGCCATGGTCTCTCGCCAGCTGGACGTCGCCGGCGAAGCAGTCAGTATGGGCGCCCGCCTTTGCAGTGCCAGCCTGGCCATCTCGACGCCAAGCTCTTTCGTCGTGCCAACAGACCAACACCGGTCGCCCTGCCCGCAGCAATGACGAGCGCAAAGGAGTCGGTCGCCCGATCCAAGCCCCCCAACACCATGGCAAGCACATCGATAGGTACAGCACGGCCACCTGGCAGGACGCAGACGACGTCCGCCCCGAGCTCTAAAAGATATTCCCCGCCCAGCCCAGTCGGAGGATATGCGTGGCATCGCGGTTCTGTAGGGCCACGCATGTATGCCTTTGCAGTACACAAGAGCAAGGAGATATGACATGGTCCATCGGATGGGACGGCTCGTCAGCCCGACCAAGAGATGGTGCCAAGTCATCGATCGTGTGGGTTTCGCTCGCTCGTGTGTCTACGAACGTGGCCTTGGACCACGTCTCGGTCTCGGAATCACGAATCCGTTGTATGCTGTTTTGGCAAGGACGCCGTTACCTAATCTGAGAGGGCAACGAACACGTACTTGATTGCCAACCGCTGGCACGGCCTGGGCTTAATGACAACCGCTTCTAAAAGAGCAGCGACGCATATCGCCCCTCTGACGACCGGCAAGGTGACGGATGGTGAGGGCGTGCGATTGCATCTTGACGCCCGTCGCCGGCGTTGAAGTCGTGGGCGGTCAAGACAGAGTACGGTGCGGTATGCTGGACGGGATGGGGAACAGCCGCGGCAGGCTCGGACGGAACTTTCCACCATGGCTCCGCTCGCCGCCCGCCGCTCGCCCCGTCTGTCCTTGGTCGTTTCTTATCTCTGGGTGCACCTCGTTATCGTATGCGGGGCTCCAGCCGGCTGTGCAGCGCCTCTGCGTCTGGGTGACTCTTGCCGCCCTCGATTTCTTCGAAAATAGAACGTCCTGCCAGGCCTAGCCTCATCAGAAGAAGGTACAGAGATGGCTGCATGCCCTCGATGTCCCCCGCGCTCGCCTCGATCTCCCTCTACCGCACCTATCTGATCGAAAAGGTCGAGTGTTGGCCGGTCGACAGCCATGGCGGTGCCGCCGCCTAGACCGAGGCCGCTGTCGAGGTCGCGATGGCACTACCTGGACCACCTGGACCACCTGCACGTACTTGCCTTGCACGAGGCTACAGGGACAGCGACTATTCTGAATCGGCCAGGCTTGGCATTACGTGCTGGCCCCGAATTAGAACGGGAGGACGTTCGTGCGCAGGTGGAAGGCCTTGGCCGGCAGGGATGATCCTTCCGCGTGCGGCAGATGCAAGAGCACTTTGGCACAGCCAGGCGGCTTGCGAGGTCGACGGCAACGACAACGACGGCATCTAGGTGCGGTACGGTACGGTACGGCTCATACAGTTCAGACGCTGCCATCCGGTAACGTGCTGGCGGCACACCACGCCCGTTTCTGTGTGCGCGTGCAATCCAAACGCCGTGGGAGCGGGGCGACGAAGAGAAAATATCACGAAAGATGAGGAGGCAGGTGCTGCCCCGTGGCAGCCAAGAGCCACTAAAACGCGATTAGCGAGACCGACCGTGAGCGGTCCCCGCCCCGACGCCTGCCGGCCCCAATACGCCCTCGTCATCTCTCGAGGCGTCGGTTTGCACTACACGCTCAGCAATCAGACGCCCGTGCCCGTCCTTGCCTAGACTCTCGTGGCTCATCACGTACTACCGTAAACTAGCCATCCCTACAGTACCAACTGCCTGACATCGGTATGAGGGTGTCTGGGTCAGTCGACGGTGTCGCTACCGCATGTAACTAGGCATGGCTCATTAGCGGGCTTGGCAGTTAGGGGTCTCCTCACTGCTCCCACTTTCCCCAGCCCACTCTAAGCACCTTTGCGTCGGCTCAGCCAATCCAGCTACCCGCCCGAGGGCTCCTTTGAGCAGGCGTGGGCACGGACCAGGGCTTGTGTCGACAAGGCGCGATGAATCGACGGGGGAAAGGTGCGGTAGCGGTCATCGACGACGGCATCGGCGGCGGCGGCGGCGGCGGCGGCTGGGGTGAGAAGGTACCATTCCCCGCGAGCCCATCAATGTCCTGGCAGCAGCGCAGCTTGCCGGCGGGGCGGAGCGTGGAAAGCGGTCTTCTATGCCTCGGAGCCCGATATCTCCCGGTCGTCAGCTGCTCGACGGAGCGACGCTCGCAAGGGCATGAGAGGACAGGTGATGATGGCGGGGAGGCGGAATCCACATACCCAGCCCAGATCTGGGTCCCGAACCTTGTCGGCGTGGGGCCTTTGATGCCGACTTGCAATCCTCCCCTCCGGCTACGCCGTATCGAAGGCTTGGCCAACATTGGCTTCGATGGCGTACCGAGTGACGAGAGGGCGTCTGCCCCGGGGACGACGAGGCGGGGCGCCCTGATCCCGAAACAGAGCAAGGGTAGGTGTCCGCAGTGCCATCCTCGCCCGGCTCGTGCAACAGACATGCTCCCTACCAGCTCGCCAGGTCGAGGAGGATATATACGTTCGATCTCGGTCTTTAGGCGCTCCACGTCGCCCCCGTTCCGCACTGCCCCTTCAGCCCTGTCCATCTTCTAGACATCCAAATCAGCACACCTTGCAAACGACCCGACAGCAGAACGACCGACCACGCTACAGAACGATACACAGGCCGCTTCCGGGAAAGATGTCATCACCACCTAGTGGCTCCCAGCGACCAACACAGGAAGTCCGCACGACCACGACGACAAGGCCTAGCGCTGAAGAGGCACACTCACCACTGGAGCTCGTCGATACCCTCACATCAGGATCCTCACCCCGATCACGGCACGAAACATCGACCTCACCACACACAGCAGCGAGGTCACATTCACCACCAAGCAGCAAGAACAGTCTGGAGTCGAGCCCGAAACCCAGTCCGAGCCCAGTCAAGAACGACGCTGGCGAGATCAATCGACACGAAGAAGCCGCAGACACACTTTCGCAACAGCAAACCCCCGATCTGGCCCAGACTGCCTTCAGCGGCGCCTCGACTCCCTTCACCGTCGGTAACGATGGCGCTGCCAGCGACCATGTCGATGTTGAAGCGGCAGGTGCGGACTCGAGGAGCAGCTGTCACCAGCCGGATCGCATCCGCAACATCAGGGACGTGAGGGACGCCTTTGTCCTGGTGAGTTGAATCGTGCGGACCACATCCCTTGCTATCGATGTGGGCCCTCTGCAGGCTGCAGATGCCGGAACGCGTCGCTGCCAGCATCGCCCACCGCACGTCACTCGTACGTGGTCGGTGGGGGGCGGATGGTCGGAGCCGGCCATCGTCATCCTTTCCAATGGGTCGAGCGAGCGGCGGAGGTGGTCGTGGTGACAGGTCGTCACGACCACCACCGCGAGCCTACGCCCCTTTCCCCCCACTGCGGGTCGCGCCTGCCAAGCTGCGCACCCAGATCTGCGGGCTTGGCATGATCGCCGAAGCTCCGCTCGCCAGGGCCTCAGGAATTTGCCAAGGACCAGGGGCGGCCCTGGCCTCGTCTTTCGCCTTATCTCTTCCCCCTTGACCGGGAAGGTCGCCCGTCAGGATCATCATCGCCGGGGCTCTTCGCCGGCATTGTGGCGTGAAAGGCTCTCATCTGGCATGATTGCCTTGGCCAGCAGTCAAGCCCTAGAGCGACGCGCGACGCCACCGCCTACGGTTCGAGCAGCTCACACTCTGCCACCACCCCTTCCCCATCCTTTCACATTGCTCCCCTCCCCTCGCCCAACAGACATGGCACAACCAAAAACGCAGCCTCTTCACCGCGTGGGTGCACGTGCCGTTGGGCATCGTCTTCCTGCTCTTTGTGTGCTGGGCCATCAAGCTCGGCATCGACCGCGCACCCTTCCGGTTCCCCGCGCCCGTGCTGGCCATGGCCGCGCTCTTCTTCAGCCTGCTCGCCCTCGACTGGCTGTCGATCAAGTACCCCGGCCAGGATCAGTCGCAGATCGACCCGGAAAAGGCCGTCGAGCAGAGGAAAGGAAGCGAGCGAAAGCGGTTCCTCGACCCCATCATGAAGCTCGTCGCTCCGCCCTGTGACTTTTGCCTGAGAAACATGTGGGTCAACATCGCCTCGCTGCGTAGCATGCTGGGGTTCCCCCAACTGACGCCCTGATCCTTGCACTCCTCTGGCCATCAGGTCCGTCATGTTCACGCCTTCGTTCATCCTCATCCCGGCACGCGAGGTGATCCCGGGCAAGGAGATCGGCCTGCTCGCCGCCTGGTTCACAATCAGCCAGGTGGCCGCCTTTGTCTTCCCTGTCCTCCTCTACCGCGCCCTCACGTGGCTCGAGAAGCAGCCAAAGAGGCTGCGCGAGCGGTACCAGGCGAGGCGAAAGAGGGAGCAGGACCTGCGCCGCATCCAGTCGCGGCGCAGCAGCAACGCCACGCTGGCGGGCAGCGAGCTGGCCAAGCAGCTGAGCGCGTCGGGCGGCAACCACCGTCGCCTCAGCGTCGTCGCCATGGGCATCAACGACCTCACCGCCATCGTCACCGCTCCCGTCGCCCACCTCACCATGGGCAAGGGCAAGACGAGGTACGAAGACGAGAGGCTGCAGATCGAGCACGTCCAGATCGAAACGGCACGGCAGCAGGGCGACCCCGCCGTGGCGACGCCGGCCGAGATTGCCACCATGACGGGCTCGCCGCAGGGCCACTGGGACGGCTTCTTCCAGCATCGCCAGAACCATCAGCATCGTCACCAGCATCACCACCATCGCCCGCATCAGCCCCCGGGCCTGCAGAGGGGGCGATCCTTGTCCAAGGCCGTCGAGACCGGCCGGCCCCACAGCAGCAGCAGGGGACGCAACATGAGGCCCACGACGCCCAAGCGCTCCCAGTCTGTGCCCGCCGCACCTCTCGAGGCGGTCCGACCGGCGACACCGGACGCCGGGACTCCCAAGGCCGAGGTCCACTTCCATCCCTCGACCATCCCGGCCAAGTCGACCGAGGGCCAGGCGCAGGGGGCGCCTCGTGCATCGCTCGCCGAGCAGCTGGCCGCCTACTCGCTCGACGACATGCCCCAGCGCAGGAACCTGTCGGTCGTGTTCGACGACGATGCCATCACCGATGCCGGGACGCGCCGACCCTCGAGGGCCGACAGCCAGGCGACGGTCGAGAATGCCACCAACAAGCTGTCGTTTGACGGAAAGGGCGCCCGCATCAACGCCGCCGCCGCCGCCGCCGCCGCCGACGACGACGACGGAATCGACGCCGAGAAGAAGAAGGTACACTACAGCAAAGATCAGGCTGCGCGCGACAGCACGGAATCGGCGAAGAAGCCGCGCGTCACCGTTTCGGACGGTGACGTTGACGGCGACGGCGACGGCCACGACGACGCCACCCGACGCAGCAGCGACGCCTCGCAGCTCTCGAGCGAGTGCGAGGACAGCGCCGTCGAGCGGCTGTCGGACTGGATTGCGGATCTCATCACGCCGGCAATCTACACGATCCTCTTTGTCGTGGGCATCCCGCTGTTCCTGGTGCACGACTTTGCGCTGCCCCTCTTCCTGGGCATCAACCTGCTCTCGTTCCTGGCGGCCATCACCGTGATCCCGCCCAAGTGGCGGCGCTACCTGCACCCGATCCTGACGACGTCGATTGCGACGGTCTTCATCATCTGGTGCTTTGGCAAGGCAAAGGGGCTCTCGATCCGCGGCGTCATGGACTACTACTCGAACGGCGCCAAGTACTCTGTCCTGTGGGACCTGGGCGGCTACTCGGGTCCCGTGCCGGGAGCGGGCGACCTGCTCTTCTCGACGCTCGACGCGGGCATCGTGGCGCTGGCGGTGCCCATGTACCGCTACCGCGTCGACCTGGCCGAAAACTTTACGCGGATGATGACGATCCTGGTGCCGTGCGCGTCGCTGTCGCTCTTTTTCTGGCCGTGGATCGGACACCTGTTCGGCCTGGACGAGGTGCGCTCGCTCGCCTTTACGGCGCGCTTTATGAGCACGCCGCTCGCCATCGAGATGGCCAACACGGTGGGCGCCGACGAGTCCATCACCGTCATCATTGTCGTCATCACGGGCATCCTGGCCGCCATCCTCAAGGAGCCCTTTTTCCGCATGATGCGCGTCGACATGGACGACCACATCTGCGTCGGCGTCACCATGGGCTCGACGGCCGGCGCCATCGGAGCCAGCTCCCTCATCTCGCGGCCGCGCGTCATGGCCGTCGCCAGCCTGGCCTTTGTCCTGTTTGGAACGCTCCTCCTCATCTGCGCCGCCGTGCCCAACATTGTCGACGTCGTCAGGCAGCTCTGCGGCGCCGCGCCCGCCTGAAGTCGTCCGTCGCCCGCACCCAAACGACGCGGGCTTCGGGCCAGGCTGCAGTATCACCTCTCCGCCCCTCGTCGAGCGTTGAGAGGCATCATTCGACATCCGTGATTCCTTCTTTGTACAGTTACATGCACCTTGTTTCCCCATCAGTGCCGAGATTTGTCACCCGCATCTTCGAACAATCCATCTACCCATCTAGACTCTAGAGACGCGACAGGGCCCAGACGGGACCCATGCCATGCCAAGCCATGCCATCGCATCTGCTCCGGCATCGTTGCACGCGCCTCAACCGCCCTTGGGCAGCAGGAGCCAGCAGCCGATGGCGACGACGAGGCCGGTAATCTTTTCCTGGGGCGTGTGGAAGTAGACGGCGGTCATGAGGAGCATCCAGCTCCAGAGCGCGACGATGGCGAGGACGAATGCGAGCACGGCCGTCGGTGCCGTGTCGATCTGCCTGCGACCGTGCTGTTCCTGCTCCTGGCCGGCGCCGGCCTTTCTGCTGGACCCGACGGGTCCGACGCGGACGACGAACGGGTTCGAGATGCTCCATCCGGACCGCGGGAAAAGGTCCGCCACGCCGCGCGGAACGAGGTGCGGGAGGAAGGGAGCGATTTCCTCGAGCAGGAAGAGGGCAGAGAGGACCATGAGGAACGTGTGGCCCGAAATGTCGTGGCCCCCGCGCCAGAGGGGCTTGAGCGCCATTGCCGCATCGCCGCCGGGCAGCGACGAGGACGACGACGAGGACGAGGCGAGCGAGAGCTTGGAAAAGAGATCCGGGTGGCTCGTCGAGGTGATGGTGGAGCGGCTGCGGCAGTATGCGGCGTCGACCTCGCCGGATAGCCCCGCCGAGGGGATGCACACGCCGCCCGTGGCCGTCAGGATGCGCTCGGTGAGCGGCGGGCCGAAGAACCAGCTGGTGAAGAGGCTGCGGGTATCGGTGTATGCGTCCAGAGTGGGAGGCAAGTCGAAGAGGATGTCAGTTTGGGTCCGTCGTAGACTCAGCGGCGGATCGGTTGGTCTGTACTTACACTAAAGGATCATGATCAGGTCAGGGCGAGCAAGGAGAGTGAATGCATCAAGGAGAGGACAGCATGGTTAGCTTCCTGCGAAATTCGGCGGGGAAGGTAAGGGGCCGGTGGGGGGCTACTCACGCCAGTATCCGGTAGCCATGAGCCATCGCAACGTGCTCTTGGCTACGGGGCTGGTGACAGTGGTCTTTGACTGTGCATCGAGCCTGTTCTGGGAGCGAGGGTCGTTGATCTTGAGGTTTCCCCTCTGGTCTACGTCGACGCCGAGGCTGTCACCGACGATCCTGGCGCCGGGGCGGGTCCTGATGACGATGGTGACGAGGGCCGACGCGAGCGTGGTCCAGAACCAGGCGCGCTTGACAAAGAGCTGGTTGAAGATGTTTTTGCGGTTGGCCCAGTAGGCGAGCGCGTGGCCTGGCGGGACGAGGGTGGGCGGCAGGGGCGGGAGGCGGGTGGTTGAGTCGGTGTGCGAAAGCGGGGAGGCGCCGGCGGCGGCGAGGGAGGCGTTTGCGATGGTGGTGTGCAGGTTTGCGTGGTGTGAGCCGGTGAGGATCGAGTAGACGGTGCCGAGGACGACGATGGCGGTAAAGTAGCCGAGGAAGAGGACGTGGTAGCGCTGCAGGCCGAGGGGGAGGGGCGCCGTGGTCGTCGTGGGCGACCGCATCGTGGCGGCCGACATGGGCGGCGAAGCGGACGTCGAGTGGGTGAGTGTGTCAGAGAGAGAGTGAATGAAAGGGAGAGAAGGCAAGACAGAGGATGGTGTCCAAGGCGAGAGGGATGGTGGTGATGGTGCGAGGGGAGATGGAACAAGGCGGATGGCAGAGGTCAGGCAGGGTCGACGTGTGCGTGCGTGCCTAACACTACGCCGCCCGATGAAATCATCCGTCGCAGCAGGGAAATGGAAATTGGCAGGTGGAGGAGCACCCGCCGTCGACGTGCCAACACCAACCAAACCTCGTTTGACCCCCTCTCTTTATTTGCAGCGCCATCATTGCTTGCAGACACAGCAAGACGAGCGGGGAATCGTATTAGCACAGAACGGGAGTCACAAAACGATCGATACAACGACAGCCTGGCACGCAACACGACGAGCGCGGTGACGAGGCGGAGCCACACCGGGCGTCAGAGAGGGCTTAGTACCTAGAACAGCGGCGCCGATGGGCTACGCCTGCGACGACGACGACGCCTCGCCCTTGGCGCTCGGGTCGGTAATGGCCAGCACGCGCACCTCGACGCTCCAGCGCGGCTCGGCATCGGCGGGCGTCTGCGGGTCGGTAAAGGCCGTGTGCGGCGTGCGCGTCTCGGTGCGCGAGTCGTAGCACTTGAGCAGGATGGCCTTGTCAGTCGGCAGGCCCGAGTAGTAGTACCAACGGTGATCCGGGTTCGGGTGGATCTGAAAGAGGGCGGCGGCGAGGCATGGCAAGAGAACAGGCGGTTGCGCTGGTCAGTCATCGAACATGGGCTCCCCTCGGCGATTCACACGCGTGCGCGAGCACTCACCGAGAGCGTCTCTCCCGTCCAGGTAGGGTAGCGCAGCTCCGTCTCCCTCCAGTCGGGCGGGTTGCCGTCCTGTCCGCGGCTGACGGTGCGGCTGTCGGCGACGGCGAGGGGCGTGTCCCAGGCCTGGCCCCTCAGCGGCCTCCATACGTTGATGAGCTGGGCGTGGAGCTCGCCGCGCTTGACCCTCTCGAGGGTGTCGTTGCCCAGGTGCTTTTCGATGCGGTTCTCGCCGGCCTTGCGGCTCTGGTCGCTGTGGGCGAATGCGACGGGGGTGCGGTTGTCGGGCGTGTCCGGGAGCGACTGCTGCTCCTTTGTGCGCCTCTTGCGCACGGTGTGGTCAAAGATAAAGGTGGAGGTGACGCCGAGGTGGGACTTGAGGAGCTGGTCGACGTCGCTGTAGTAGGTCGACTCGAGCCAGCCGGCGAGGTCCCACTTGCGGTCGGCCCACTGCTGGGGCGTGTCCGGGCTGCCGAAGCCGTCGATGATCTGGAAGCCGGCGTGGTCGGTGGTGAAGCCGGCTTGGATGCGCTGTTGGTGGGAGAGGTGTCGGAGGTCGGAGATGTTTACGGTGGGGGACACGTATACGTGGTTGTTTGCGGGTTCCTTGTCCTGCTCGTAGAGGTAGGTGTAGGGCTTGTCTACGGAGCGGTCGAGGTAGTTGATGACGCCGCGCGTGTAGGGGAGCGAGGCGAGGACGCTGGTGGAGGGCGCGTCGTCGTTGTTGCTGGTGGTGGTGGTGCGGGTGGTGGTGGTGGTGGTGGTGGACGACATGGTGGCTGGTGATGGTGTTTAGTGCGGGAGTGGGCAATGTGAGCTGGATGGCGAGACGAGAGGGAAGGAGGAGTGTTGCGGCTGGCCTGTCTTTATAGGCTGATGGAGCTGAGCTGGTGTCGTCGGGGCGGCCGGTGTTTGTGGGGATGGTAATTGAGGTGGATGTCGTGACGGGGCAAGGTACCCTCGGATGTTAGGTGGCAATGGTGGTGGTGGAGCGGCGAGGGGGCAGTCAGCCAACGCAGCTGGCAAAGGTTCAATCGGTTAACCCCGCAGGCCATTGATGGCGCAATCGGGCCAAAGTGGCCATATTCCCGAAGGCGGGCCATACCGAGGTGGAGGCTGGGCAGGCGGGGCTAAGGCCGTGGGGGCGGGCTGCGCTGCCTTTGGCCCGACTTCCGACGGCAGCGGCGGCGGAGCCAGAGGCAGCCCCGCATGGGCCACTCTCTCTTGCACGCGACCGCAGTGCGTTTGCCGTCGGTGGCTTCTTCTCGACCTCTACCTCGACCTCCTCCTCCACCCCCCTCCTAACCTCCGAACACCCCTCCATCACTCGTCGATATCCCCGAACACCATGTCGCAACCGCCACCCCTCCGCGATCCCCTCGCAAACTCCCCTCCCGCTCCACCTGCCACCCTCTCCCTCGGTCTACCAAGAGCACGAGGCGGTCGCTCCACCCGCCACCCTCCATCATCATCATCAACATCTGCAGCAGCAGCAGTTGCAGCGCGCGCAGCCGCAATCGCAGACGACGCAGTCAGAGCAACAGACTCGGACGCCCTCCTTTCGCGCATCTCGGCGCTGCGCCTCGGATATCTCCCCGACGACCCCTACTCGCACGACTTCCTCACACAGACCGGCCCTCAAACACACCCACGCCCACCTCCCCCGTCGTTGCTCCCGCACACCGCACGCCCGCACTCGTCAGAGCAACGCAGCCGCACCGCCCTTCCACCAACGCCACCTTCCGCTCCTGCCACACAAGTCAATGACCACCACCACGACCACAGTCCACCACGCACTCCGGGATCAGGCTCGGCTTTTGGCTACGCCGACATCCCCCAGCCCACAACCGCAGCCAACCCCCTGGCGGCCTTTCCCGGCACCGCTCCAGGCGCAAGACGACCACCCTTGATCAACATCGGCACCTACCTCAGATGCCGCTCAATCGACCAGCTCGTCGAAGCATTCCTGCTCCACGACCACGGCGCCGCGTTGGGCCCCGGATCGGATGCCCCGGCCAAGGGCAAGGGCAAGGGCAAGCAGATCATTAGCCTCGGCGCCGGCAGCGACAGCAGGTACTGGAGGGTCATGGTGAGTGTGCGAACAAGCGCAGACCTGCGGATCCGGCACTCTGTTTCATGGACCAGCGACCCGGCTGACATCCGATCCTCGCCAACCTCTGCCCTTCGCCCGATGCACAGGCATCGCCAGAGCTGCGCGCTCAGCTCGCCCACTATCTCGAGCTCGACTTTGCTCAGGTCACGACCAAAAAGGTGGCCAGCATCCGGCGCAGCTCCAGATTGCAGGCTCACATCGAGCAGCTCGACTACGAGCACGGTCCATCTCGGGATGATGCCAGCAGCAGCAGCAGCAGCCAGCCGCCCGATTCCGCCGACTCGCTGCGCAGCAAGCGTCTCACCATCCGTCCCTTTGACCTGCGACACTTTGAGCAAGCTGGAGACGCCATCGGTCAGCTGGTCTCGGACCTCGATCCGACGCTGCCCACGCTCCTCTTGTTTGAGTGCGTGCTGGCCTATATTGAGCCCGACTCGGCAGACGCGATGATCTCGTCCTTTGGGCAGAGGTTCCCGCGCCTGGCGGCTGTCGGGTACGACATGTGCTTGGCGGGCGATGTTGCCGATGCCCCCGGTCGGCATGAGGTCAGCCGGTTTGGCAAGGTGCTGCTGCAAAACCTGGAGGTGAGTGGGTCTTGTTTGTTCTGCGGGCCTTTGGCATCCGACGCCGATGCACACCGGTGTGTCGGGTCGGCTCCATGTTGACCGGCAGCTGGGCCTCGATCGGTCGGCAGTCGGTCGCAATCAACGCACCCGTGCTGCCCTCTGATCGCCAATTGACCCGCCTCATCTTGCTTCCCCTGTCTTGCTCGGCCGTTGGCTCGCCTGCTCACCTTTGACGCCGACGCCCGACCCGACCTTAGGCGCGCAACCTATCGCTACCGGGAGCCAAGGCGGCTCTGACGATCGAGTCGCAGGCGAATCGGTATACGCGCCTCTGGGCCGACGGTGCACGCGGGCCGACGACGGCGAGGGGAAAAAGCCTGTACCGGATCTGGCAGGATCTCGACGCGCGCGAACGCGAGAGGATCTCGAGGCTCGAAGGGCTCGACGAGGTCGAGGAGCTCGACATGCTCCTGCGCCACTACTGCATCACGGTCGCCACCCGAGGCGGCATCGACATCTGATGATCGCCATGGATCCAGATCGCCTTTTGAACAAAGAGGAAGGGGCGGAGGGTGAATCCACTCTGGCCGTCCTCTGGCAGGCAGGCAGGCTGGCTTTTATCCGGATCGCAATCCGGGGGCTCTGATCACGTCGACGATTCTGCAGTAACTGCCAGGCTACTCTTACCCTCGGAGGAGTCGGTCGTGCGGGGCTGGATGGAAGTGGTGTCTCAGACCGAGGGCGGGGGCGGGGGCGGGAACGACAACGCCTGGCCGTGCTCTGAAGTCGGGGGCCGAGCGAGCATGTGCACGGGAGGAGTCCCATGAACAAAGGGGTCTCGACCAGCCAAATTGCCAATCTAAGCATCTGCGGAAACGTCCGACGAGGTGCGAGTTGCGTATCGGATGTCGATGGGCGTGCGTGGGCCCCGAGCTCACATTCCCCACCGTCCCGGTGTTTGACTGCGGCAAAGAGGGATCCGAGGATGGTCATGTAGCAAGCGAGCGAGCGAGCGAGCGAAGGGTTGGTATCCGATTCGCGTTCCGGGGAGCGAGGCGCGGCGCAGTCGCAGTCGCAGGCCCATCGTCATTCAGCGCGCAACGGCATTCCGACCTGCCGGGCCACGCAGCGGGGCGAGAAAAGTCTGCGTCGCCCGTTGGGCGTCGGTCGATCCGGTGCGGTGCGGTGGGGTACGGCACGGTGTTGGTCTCTGCCATCACATCGATTCCTGTTGCCCCCATTATTGTTCTTGTCCTCGGCAGGGGGGCAAGGTTGTTTCGTTGTTTGTTCCATGCTCTCTTGCCTGCATCCCTCCGATTTCAAGAACAAGCGCGCTCCGTTGGACGGGCGTAAGGGGGACAATGGAACGACGAGACGAGGTCCCGGATGGTGGATAGAGTGCGGCTTCAGGACGACACGGCACGGCACGGCACGGTACGGTTACGTCCGTCCCTGCCCGTGCCCATGCCCATGTACTGGGCTCGGTGCGCACCAAAAAGCACCCAAGGCTGGCCTTCACCGGCCCGCTTCGGACTCGGCGTGGGACTCGCCACCCCCGCCCTAGCCTAGCCTGCCCTGCCTCTTCCGCGGCGGTCCACGATGGCCATACGCGATCCGAAGCGAGCGATACAGCGGCTACGGTCCCAGGGGAGTTGCGTACAGCCCTCGGATGTTGGTGTCCGATTCGACGTCGACGGCGGTCGGCAAGCAACTGAGTCGGATGGACTGATACCAGAGCACGACATACAGCCGCGGAGAGAGAGCTAGCTAGAGGGACAAGAGAAAAGAGTCTAGACCCCCGTCCCTTGTTTGTTGAGCCGAAGCTGCGGCCGCGGGCGGTAGCTGTATGTACATATCGACTCGACGCCGAACCGGGTAGGACTGCGCATGCATGGATTCGCCAGGTGTCGCTCCTTGAGGCGACGTACGGTAGAGCGAGCCCCGCACCCGCCCCGCTCCGCTTCAGCGCGTGGTCGTCCTGCCTGCCTGTCTGCCTCTTACATACAGACTCCGCCGACTGGTAGGCCGAGACGAGACCGGGAGGCCGGAAGAGAGGATGGGCGGGTGCCCGACTACCGAAATAGAACAGGCAGGCCGTCGTCTCGAGAGTGCGCGTACGTGTGCTCGACCAAGGACGCACGCCAGCAGGGCGGAGAAGCAGGAACCGTACAGTGAGACGCCAAAGGAGCAAAGCCAAAGCAAGGGAACGCGCGGTATCCATCGCATCCCCATACGGTACGGTAGCGACCGAAACGGGACCAGGGGACCGAGGAAAAGTAGCCGCCGGCCATCCAACTGCCGGTACAGGCAGGAAGGAAACATGCGGTCGGTGCCCTCCTGCAACAGGCAGACGTCTTTCCGCTGCCGGTGAGCCTTAACTTGTTGCAAGCGGGCGGGCAGCGGACAGGCGGGCAGGGCGTGCAGGCAAACATACAGCCTTGGCTGGCTGGCTGGCTGGCTGGCTGGCGGAAAGAGGCAGGCTAGGTATGTAGAGTGAGCTCCCGCGTACCTACCGGGGCCATCATGAGGGGCGCAAAGCGAAGCTGAGCGAGACGTCATGACGAGCGAGTGCGAGCTCAGCTCGAATTCAAGCAAGGCATGTGCATGTGCATGCTGAAGTACCGGCTGCCGCCTTGCTGGTCCACCCTAGCCTCGTTCCTGCCTACTGACCCCTTCAGTAGGCCGTCGCCCGGGCTTGCCACCGGGAACACCGTTCCGTATAGATGAAGAGGGCCAGCTATGATCGCAGACGATTCAACGCCGGGCGCCCATTATCATATGTACGCGCGGTAGAGTGGTGTGTGCTCGCACCGTGTGCTAAAGAGTGTGGTTCCCGGCCTGAGGTGCGAAGGGGGGACCCGTCTGTGCCGAACGTAAGTACCGTAGGTGAACGGGCGCTGACCGTGACCTAGCTGGAAGGCAGTCGGCGACGGGTACGGTACTGGTACGGTACCGGCATGCTATCAGCGCCAGGGGTCGAGGAGCCCAGGATCAGGCGACCGGCGAGGGCGAAACACGACCTACAGGTGCATACACTCGGCCCCTCGCACGACGCTGGTCCGTATGTGCGGGTGACGAGTCGGGCCTTGTCGATGTGACACCCCCGGCCGTCTTCGCGCTGTTTCCGACCCTAGGGCCAGCCCCGCCGTACCCGCTGCGCCAGGTCATGCTCATGCAGAGGCCAGATGAGATCTACCAGCATCCAAAGCCCCCCGCGCCGCGGCTGTACCCACCGCCAGACGAGATCGAGCTGTTTGCGGCACGGGGCGGTAGCGAAGCAGCCTAGCCTGGCCTGGCCCGCAGAAGATCAGAGAGAAGCGCGATAGATGCTGCATGGCGGCCAGTGCGAAGGCTCCTCTCGAGCTCCTGGCCCGGCCCAGCTGGCCTTGGCTGCCCGGCCGTACAGCGGTAGGCGGCAGGGGGAGAGGCAGGCAGGCCAAGAAAGGGCTGTCGGCAGCCGCCGACCAGAAATCGGCGAGATGGCCGCGGGGAAGCAAAAGCGGCTTCGGCAAAAAAGAGGGCTCGCATGAAGACCAGCAGGTGGCCGTGGCAGGCGGGGCCAGACCCAAGCAAGCAAGCAGGCAGGCAGGCAGGCAGGCAGGCAGGCAGGCAGACAGGACCCCGAAGCAAAGCAAGACGCCAGCACCACGCCCGCCCACAAACACACAGCGCACAAGCGCCCCGCCCGCCCTCTTCGTCGGCCTGCCCGCGCCTGCCCACCCCCCCTGTCAGCCAGGTTTCCGAATGTCGGAAGGCGTGCCGGCGTTTGTGCCTCTCTGTCTCTCTTTTTCGGCCTTGCGTCTTTTGCCCTCGTACGTCGGTGAGGTGAGCGGGCGAGGGGGGCTGGCCGGGAAGACCCGAGGTGCTGTCGTCGCGCGGCAGGTGTTGCATTCGCCGGCTCGTTTGTGCCCGTGTCGCGATGCCCGGCCTGCCTGCCTGCCTGCCTCGCCTGGCGCCAGTCAGCGCTGGCCAGACCAGACCGGTCGACGCTGCAGCAGCAGCATGCGATGGTTGCACGGCAACAGGCGGGCAAGGCAGAGCAAGCAGCAAGCAAGCAGGCAAGAAAACCAACGAGCGGCAGCAGATGCTGTACCCAGCACCGAGCCAGCAAGACAGACAGACCCGGAAGAAGCGGGCCCTCGCCCTCTCGACTCACCTACCGAACCATCACCTCATACGGTACCGGTACGCACGTCCTCGCTCTTCGCCCGCGCGCCTGGCCCTGGATCCTTGGCCTCGGTGCATCCGGCCTTGCTGCTTGCTTGCCTCTGGCTCCATAGAACGAAGGGGTCTGGAAGCACGGCGACTCGACAGGGCTCTGCTGCAGCCTTCGATATCTTCCAAGGTAGCCGGTCGCCCTCTGCCACCCCATTTGTGTCTAGGCTGGGCCCTGCCTGCTTTTGACCCTTAGTGCGCGCTTCTCCTTTTTGTCGCTTGCGTCTTCCTCTCTCTCGCCGCCCTCTTCTCACTCCTGCACCACACACTACCTCTCTCTCGCACGCACCTTTTGGCCCTGGCCTCGGCCGACTGCAGCGTCATACAGACGGTGACCGCCAAGCGTAACACCTAACGAACGTTTGCACCTGCTGCGGGACCCGCCCCCGCCCCGCCATCCTCGGACCAGCCGATTGGACCGTCTCGGCCCCGCCCGGCACCTCGGCGTCAGGTCACATCGGCTCACTATCCGGGTCGGCTCTGTCCGCAGTACTACATAGGCCTCTCGACGACACCACCACCATACGTACACACAGCCTCGCCGGATCGCCCCGTCTCGCCACGCCTCCTCCGTCACCACCATCTCGTCGCTGGCCCTTCGACATCGCACGCCAGCCGCCGGTCTGCTTGCGGCCCACTTGTCCTTTGCTGACGACGCTCGGTCCCATCTTCCTTTGGCACTCCACGTCAATCTCGACCTCGACCTCGACCTCGACCTCGACCTCGACCTCGAGCGTCTCCGTCTAGGAAGCTAGCTAGCTCCCTTGGCAACGGCCGGCCCTCCTCGCGTCGACTCTACTCTGGCTTCCGTTCCGTCGGCAGTGGAGTCCAGCAGCCAAGACCACCAGCTGTCGTCGGCCTTCTCCTTCCTTGCCCGCATCGACCCGGACGAGCCTCTTGCGGACGACCAGGCAGCCTCGGTATCCCGACCACACGTATTCCTGGCCATTTGACCTCGGTCAAGTCCTCCGTCGACGCAGCTCCAGCATCGACCCCATTGGCTTCTGGAGTCACATACATACGTACCGCCAGCTCCTGATCGCAGGCAGGTCCCGTTGCGTTATTGTGGCCGCGGCGGCGCCCCGAAGCAGGGTCCCGCATCACGCCGGCCAGCTCGACGCCCCGGCCCGAGGGATCACCGCCAGCGCGCAGGCTTCTCCGACGAATAGAATTGCCGATACGCCTCCATGACCGAGCTGTCTTCCTTCTCCGCGACAATGGGCTCCCACAACGGGGAAGGGCGTGACGGCGCTCGTTTCGTCGACCAGCGAAGCAACGGCAACGGCGAACACCTAGCACAGCCGGGCCCGTCCAACGACGCAGGCAACCACCAGCATTCGCGGAAGCGCAAGAAGCGCTTCAAGTACCTCCTCGAGAACCAATCCAACGCCAACGGCGATGCCAGAGATGGGCAGAGCGAGGATCCAGACGGCAACGGCGTCGACGCCGATGGCAAGAAAGAGAGCCGCAAGAAGGTCAAGAAGGCTTGCATCTTCTGCAAGCGCAGCCACATGGTGAGTGACGTACCTCAGCCAGGGCCTCCTATGCTTCCGCGGGCGCAGCATGGCCTGCGCGGTGCAAGGCAATCGTCACGATGCGGACATCCCTGCTGAGCCACTCTGAACCATCCGCATCTCGATGACGCGCTGTCCTCGCCATGCAGCCGTGCGAAGAGGCAAGACCGTGCCGAAGATGGTGAGCAGAGCGACCCAACCTCACCTCGCGCGACGACAGAGAAACAACATCGGCAGCTGCAGCGACCCGGAGAGCGGCCGATCTGACTCCGGCCCCCCATTCCCTGCCCCCTCACAGTATCAAGCGAGGTATCTCTGACATGTGCCGCGATGCCGAGCCCCAGGGCTCAAACGGGAAGCAAGCCAAGCCAACGGATCGTGCAAAGTCGAGCCCCAGCACGACCAAGGGCAAGGGCAGGGACGACGACGGCGCGGCCGGATCTCCCGAATCCATGTCGCCGGAGCCCGAGGAACTCGACATCCCGGGCGTGTCTGCCAGAGACCCCGACTTTCCGCCGGCCATGTCCATCAGCCTCTTGCTCAGTCCCGCCGACGTCAGCTCCACGCGCAACTCGCAGGCCACCGTGTACGCCAGGTATGCAGGCGACGCAGCGCCGGGTGGCCCGGCGGGCAAGGTTCAGGCACCCTCGAAGCTACGCAATGGGCAGGGTCCTTCGACGCCAGGAACGCAGAGCCGGCGATCCGCCCCTGCCGCCTTCACGGCCGACTATGCCGAGGCGCAGGAGCGCTCCTGGGAGCGAAACATGGACTATACGTCGCAACGGGAGCTCATGAAGCTGCTCGAGGCTGGGCCCTCTGCCGTCGACCTCAAGTGAGTCGAGCCTCCGATCGCATGCTGCATCTGCTTGGCCGTGTTGCTTACGATGCGCGCCGATTGACCCCTCGTGTAACCGTCGCCACGCAACCGTCCAGCGATGCATTCGGCGACAAGCCCACCTCGCTGCTTAACTATCCGGCCATGATCGGGATGCCGGTCGGCGAGTCTCTGATGATGCCGAGCGCGGCCAACAGTCCATCGCCCGTCGCCGGCGGCAACCAAGGCGAGAGCTACGACGAGCGCAGTCGGGACAGCTCCTACCATGTGGGATCGACGTCGTCGCTGGTGCGGTCCCATCCGTCTAGCGAGATGTTCCCCCGACCCAAGCACCTGCTCCAGGAGGAGCATGCCACGACCGCCGAGCTGCGTGGTCTCAAGAGCTACAGCTACACGTACGGCTACGGTGAGTCGCTCGGGCGGCCGAGACCATCCCACACGTGTGCCCGCGCAGCTGTCCGACGCTTGCCTGCTGACCCTGCTCGCCCGCCGCTGGCATGCTCCGATGCCGCCCGTCTGTCTTTGTGCCCCTCTTCTCTCCTCTCGCCCACAGCCAAGCTCGCTCGATGGATGCAGACGAGGTACTCGCGCGAGTCGTGCGAGGCCGTCGACCAGTGCCTGGGCCAGATTCGGCCCAAGTTCCTCGCCATCTCGCGCAGTCTGCCGGAGCGCGAGCTGCTGGGCGTCGAGGAGGCCTTTATCCGCCTGGTGCACCACTACCAGGCCAACGTGCTCGAATTCGTCCCGATGCCGACTATCGTGTCGCGCCGCACGGGCGAGGTGTACGCCGCCAACGAGCATGCGGCCCGCCTGCTGCAACTGCCCAAGGGTCTGTTTGAAGGGGGCCAGATTTCTCACTTCCAGCTGGTCCCCGAGGACGAGGCGGTCAAGCTGTGGCGCGTGAGTGTTGCCGGCCAGAACGGCCTCCTACCACGGCCCTAGGTGCCAGTGCGAGCCTCCCGATACTTACCTTTGGCTTGGTCCCTGTCGATGACTTCCTCCCTGGTCTGTCCGCCCGCCCGCGCAGCTCTACGCCGACGAGTGCATGGGCATCCTCAAGGACCCGCCGGTGCGCCTATCCAAGATTGAGGTGGACCGGTCGCTGCTGCTGTTCAACAAGCCCGGCTTTGATCCGCACACGGGCGAGCTGCTGGGCGACGGCAGCGGCGTGTGCCAGGACGGGTCGCCCGTCGTGATCCGAAGCCAGGCGCTCGTCACGTTTGAGGCCAAGATTTCGCAGCACGGTCTGCCCGTCATGGTGGTGAGTGGATCGGACCTGGCCCGACTCGACATGGCAGGCCCACCTCGACTCCCGGGCGAGTCGACGGCGCTGTCCCAGCCCAGCTCGGCCTTGTTTCTCCCGGTGCTGACCGCTCTGTCTCGTCGATCCCCACGCCGCCTTTCGCCTCGCGCGCGCTTCCCCAACAGGTGGTTCAATTCATCCCCATGCCTGCCACCCTCGAAGGTCGAAGCTAGCCAGCGGCCTCGCTCGACCGCCTGGATAGCCCCTCGGGTCCTCAAGACTAAGCTATTCCCTCGGCACCCCACCGGCGCGCTCACGCCTAGAGCCATCTCGGCGCCCCTGTACTTGTAACACCTACCTTGCCCGCCCACGTCGCGCTAATCACCTGCTCCGTCCTGGTCCCCTGCCCTCCACACCATCACCTCGATCGTCGATGAGCCACGGGTATCATTGCATTCGTTGCCGCCTTGGCGGAAACGCACCGGAAAGGACAGGCCGCGATGGGTCAGGGCCGCCACCCCGCCTGCCTGCCTTCATGTGTCGCGCGGAGAAGAGATAGGCCACGGCGGCCTAGCGGGACCACTTGACGTGCTCCCACACCTTGCACAGCCGTATGCCGCCAGCGAGGATACCCGACCAGGCCTCGACGGCCTCCTTGTCGGTATCGGGGCGCACGGCTTCAAACGCCAGAAAGACGCCGTCGGCGAAAAAGGCGAGGCGGTCCCAAAACGTCCACACGAGCGAGTGGCGCGTGCGCGCCAGGTCCGTCTCGGCCTGCACCAGCTGTCGTTCGGTCGACTCGAGCAGGCTCGTCGGCGAGAGGGCGTGGCGGTTCGAGTGCGGGTGCTGGCTGCCTCGCATCGCATCGCCTCCCCCTTCGCCTTCGACCTCGCTCGATCGAGTCAAGGAGATGGAAGCGGCCGAGCGGGACGAGGTCGAAGAGGCGTCGTCGAGGTCCTCGAGCGCTTCCTGGATTCCCGGCCCGTACGGTCGCAGATCGCTCGACGCTGGCGACGGCTCTGCGAGGTCGGTCGGAGAAGTTTGTTGCTGCTGCTGCTGCTGCTGCTCGTTCTCCTTCTCCACGTCGCTCGCCATGGCGGCTACAGCAGCAGACGTCGATGACTCGCCCTGCGCCGTCGAGTCGTCTGCTGCAGCAAGGTTCGGGTTCGACTGTCGGTGCGAGATGGCGGCACCGGTCGGGATCCGTCTACCGCTCAGCTCGCTCGCCCAGCCGATGCGGTCGTTGGCCTGGATGATCCTGCGGTGGGCGCTGCGGAGCTCGGCCCGGAGTCGCAGCCTCTGCATGCGCAGCAGCGCCAGCGACAAGAGGACCGAGCAGAGCGAGAGCAGTACGCCCACCCTCTCGATGCCCTTTCTCCGCCTTCGTCCAAGGACGCCCAGCTCGGCGAAGCCGACGGCGCGCCAAAAGATGCCGCTGCCCGCCATAAAGGCGGCCACGTCGCACGCTTCGCCGAGCACCGAGAGCGCATCGCACAGCGTCGAGAGCCGCTCCTCCCACATCTCTCGCCACGTCGAGACGGTGGCAAGCTGCGACTGCTCCGCGGCGTCGGGCCCGGCTCGGGGCCGCGCAGACGTCGACGGCTGTTCGATCACCTCGTTCTCCACCGTCCCACTGTCGAAGGGCGCCAGGCTCTGCGGTTGGAGCCAGCTGAAGCCTTCCTCTTTGGCGTCGGTGGACGTGATCTTCTCCTCGCTTTCAGGTGAAGCGGCAGAGGATGGAGGCGCCAGCTCTCCATGGGTTGATGGACGAGACGAGGACGGCATCTTGGGCCTTGTGGCCATGCGCTCCATGGCGGCCTCGGTGCCTGCCTGGATCCAGCGTGCGAGGAGCACGATCCGGCGCACGTTGGCGAGCCCCTCGGCTGCCGTGTAGATGCGCTGCATCGTATGTGCGCGCATCGAGCGGGGAAAGAGGCGCGTGAGGAGGAAACCGCCGGGTGCGAGGATCGACTCGGTATAGCTGCGTGGCGGCGGGAAATGCAGGGACGAATGCAAGAGGAGGACGAGGGAATGGGCTACGTGCTGCAGGCAGCAGGACGTGACGAGCATCAGCGACCGATCGCTGCCGTCTGCCCCAGCCGCGCTTGGAGTCGCAGACTTACCAGCAGGCTGTCCCTCCCCTCTCCGTCCTTAAGGACTTTGAAGGCCGTCCTCCTCTTTCCGCGCGACTTCTTCCAGACGTATCTCGTCCTGTTGAGCGCGGTGCTGCTGCCTCTCCAGGAGTCGGACTCGAGGGCGTCCGAGTCTGGCTCTTCGTCGTCGTCATCGTCTGCGCGACTATCTCCGCCGCCGTCATCTTGGCTTCGGCGGTCGTGACGGCGCGCGTCTACGGTCAGGCGCTGCGGGATGAAGGCGGTGACCGGTTCGCTTGGCCGTTCGGCGCTGATGTACGAGGAGCTGCCCCTGCGAGACTGCGGGCGAGAGCTGTGCCGGGATCCAGAAGCGGATGTCGACTGGGGAGAGACGTGACCAAAAGGCGAGCTGGGCCGGTCGAAGAGGTGCACGTTGCCGGCGAGGTTGAGGCCGGTGTGGGTGGACGCCACGTAGCTCGCCGAGGTCCTCGCTAGAGGGCGTTCGCCGGATGGCATGGCGAGGTCGATGCTGTTGTCGAGATCAGTGCCGGAGGGCAGTGCCTGGATGACAAGGAGCGAGCAAGCAGAGAGGGTGATGGGTCAGGAAGCAAGGATGCGCATCGAGCCATCGGAGAGGCAGGCCAGGCCAGGCGGTGTTTGTTGGTCAGACACGGGGGCAGCAGCCTGCACGTACGCAGGCCAGGATCACGCCAGGCGGTGGAGGCCCAAGCGCACAGCCTGGCCTGGCCTGCCTGGCTCGCCCAGTCTGTCGGGCGAGACGAGCGCGCCACTCGCCCGCCCGACTGGGCGAGCCAGGCTAAGCTGAGCGTGCCCTGCGAGCCGGCCCCACCTGACAGAGAAATGCACACGTCGCGGATGGCCCGGGGCCAACAACGCAGCGGTCGACAGCAGTAGTAGTGTGAGGCTGATGTAGAGCGGTCCTGCCTAGACGGCTTCGATCAAAGGATATGGTACAAGTGGACGAACGGGTGGGTGCGCGTTCACTGGGGCTTCTGGCGGCCTTGGCTTCGTCCCTGCCCGCCAGCCTCCCTCTCTCTCTCTCTCTCTCTCTCTCTCGTCTCTCTCTTCTCTC